GATATAGTTGAAGTCAGAATTATTAGCCCCCCTCTTTATTTTTTCCCCAATTTCTGTTTAACAGATTAGATTTTTTTCAACACATTTCTAAACATAATTGTTTTAATAACTAATTTCTAATAACGGATTTATTTTATCTTTGCCATGATGACAGTAAATAATAGTTGACTAGATATTTTACAAGACACTTCCATACAGCTTAAAGTTACATTTAAAGGCTTAACTAGGTTTATTAGATTAACTAGGCAGGTTAGGATAATTAGGCAAGTTATTGTATAACGACGGTATGTTCTGTAGACTATCGAGAAAAAATATATAGCTTAGGGCTAATAATATTGACCTTAAAATGCAATTCTTTTATTAATAACTGCTTTTATTCTAACTGAAATAAAATAAATAAGACTTTCTCCAGAAGAAAAAATATTATCAGACATACTGTGAACATTTCCTTACTCTATTAAACATCATTTGGGAAATATTTAAAAACGAAAAAAAAATCAAAGGAGGGCTAATATTTCTGACTTCGACTGTATATCTATAAACATTTTTCTACACACTTCTCTCATATGTACCAAAGAAATAATAGTACGAAAAAATAGCAATGACTTCATTAGTATAAGCACATTTTACAACAAACAACATTGTTAAACATATTGATGCTTAATTTGTAGTTAATATTGTTTTAATGTAATCGTTCATTTTCGGGACATGAAACTAAACAGGGTAGGCTACTTACATTTGTCGCATATTAGGTCCCCAAACCGTCCTCTTGCTGCTCATTTGACAAGATAAACACATTATAAAAATCAACGTCGACAAGATAAGAATATATTTTTACACATTAAAAGTTATTAATGCAGATTTAAACGCACTGTCGTTGAGGGAAGGCCTTTCCATCGCAGATTTGACAGAGCAGGGTCGCCCATAACAGCAGCTGAAGAAGCATCGTCCTGCTGAAGTAACCGCCACTCAATATGTCAGAAATAACTAGAAAACAAACAGCTAAAATATCGACATATCCCCAAATCCCTCCTCCCACTAAACTGGGAGCTTAGTGAATCTCGAAACTTTGTAAAGCAATTGTGCAATGTTTGCAGTGTTTTCTGGGCAAAAGCAGTGATTTGTCTCGACAACACACAGACCCCCAGCATTAGAAACGTTTCTAGCTTAACGTGCTGTAAACAAAATGGTAGGCTATAAAATGTATTTTTATTTATTATAAATTTTATAAATAAATTATAATAAATATATTATAAATAAATTTTTATTTATTAGTTGGACATTTTACCTGTGTGCGTTGCATTCTCCGCATTGCCATTTGTTGTCATTGTTACATTGAAGTTTATGCAGCACTTTGTATTGCAGTGTTTACTCAACCTGTAGTCAGCCTACTACTTAGCTAATAAGATCATTATTTAAAGTTATGTCCTGAGCAGGTTAAAGGGACAATATGTAAAATGTTTTTTTTTTTTTTTTTATATTTTGCTGATTTACCCATTTTTTAAATATTTCAGAAAATGTTCAAATCCATAAAAATACTAATTTTAACTAGTGACATGGTTCATGTCTCCATGTTAATGACATCATGACCCTCTATGTCCGGTTAGTTTTCATATAAAACAGAAAAACAACAATGACGTTTTAATATGTTGTATGATTTATGCACAGAGCTCTGGTGTGACTCTGGAGTCAGATCTGAGTTTCAATAGTCATGTCAAAGCAGTAAGTAAATCAGCATACTATCATCTCAGAAACATTGCAAGAATTAGATGCTTTGTTTCCAGTGAAGACTGAGAGAAACTTGTTCATGCTTTTATCAGCAGCAGGGTGGATTACTGTAACGGCCTCCTCACTGGTCTTCCCAAAAAGACAGTCAGACAGTTACAGCTCATCCAGAACGCTTTGGCTAGGGTTCTGACTAGAACCAGGAAATCAGAGCACATCACACCTGTCCTCAGGTCTCTACACTGGCTCCCAGTTACATTCAGAATAGAGTTTAAAGTATTATTACTGGTATATAAATCACTAAATGGTCTAGGACCTCAATACATTACAGATATGCTGATTGAATACAAACCTAACAGATCACTCAGATCTTTAGGATCATATAAACTAGAAGTTCCAAAAGTTCAGTCAAAGCAGGGTGAATCAGCTTTCAGCCACTATGCTCCTCGCTGTTGGAATCAGCTTCCAGAAATGATCAGATGTGCTCCAGCATTAGGCATTTTCAAATCAAGACTGAAAACACATCTGTTTAGCTGTGCCTTTACTGAATTAGCACTGTGCTGCGTCCGACAAATAATCTTTTCTTTTCTTTTCTTTTTCATTATCTTATAAAATTTTAACACATTTTTATCTGTTTTATATATTTTTTATTCTTATTTTTATCATTTTTATTTTTATCATTTGTTTTCATTTTCTTACACTTGTCTTTTTTATTCTTGTTTATGTAAAGCACTTTGAATTGCCACTGTGTATGAAATGAGCTATATAAATAAACTTGCCTTGCCTTGCCTTAAATGTATTTAGTATGATAAAACAGCCCTGCTCATACGTGGAAAAACAGGAAATGGTGAACTGTGGCATAATAAAAGCTCTACTGCTTTAGAGCCTTAGCTGCATTTGGAGTCATTAGCTATGTTTAGCAAAAATGTGAATAAACTTTATGCCCAAAACTGATATATCACATAAAAGACATGCGAATGAAGCAGCGTTTCCATCTATCGAGTCAAAGAGAACAAAATCGTCACTTCCTGATTAACTGACACCAAATATCAACAGTAAAAACAGAATTTGCTGTTGTAGAAGAAGCTGCGTCAATGTTTTGCTTATTTAATAAATGACTTGCGCCTCAGAGGATGATGTCGACATGCAATCAATGCGTGATGGCGTTTGAAGACGTGACACGCTGAGCACAGACACTCTTGATAGTTCTGGAGGTAATTAATAATATAATAACAAATTATATAATAAAGTGTAATTTAAAGACTCAACTAGGATAATTAGGGAGGTTACGGTAATTAGGGAAATAATTGTATAACAGTGGTTTGTTCTGTAGACAATTGAAAAACAAAGCTTTTTGGGATTTAAACCTACCTAACTTTAAATAGTAAACAGTTCCTGACTTCAGCAAGCTACACAGAAAAACATTAATGTAATATCCTAGAAAAAAATATGACTTGAATGCCGAATGTTTCATGAGTTTAACTTACCGCACTAGACATTTTATTATTTCATGAACAAATATTTGAAATTAGTCCTGAAGCAATACAGAAAAGTAAAAGGTCAAAAGCTACACATCTCCTAAGTATTTGCTTTGAATTTGATGGCAATATCATGCAAAATGAAGTTTTTGAAATTAATTTTCTGAGGCAATGTCTTGTAATTTTCTCCCTCTACTTGTTTGTGGAGAAGCTTTCTGATTACCATACGTATACTAAAGGTTTCTAGCAACAATTTTAAGGGGGATAATAATATTGACCATATAAAAATTTAAAACTGCTTTTATTCCAACCGAAATAAAACAGATAAAGACTTTCTCCAGAAGAAAATATATTATCAGACATACTGTGAAAGATTCCTTGCTCTGTTAAAAATTATATGGGAAAATATTTGGGAGGGAAAGAGAGGGCTAATAATTCAACTGATAAATAATAATAGAAGTATAACTAGTAAATTATAAATATAAAACATTATTGTCATTATTGTGATTGTCATTATTGTGATACTATGTAACATGGGGGACGTAAATAAGAACAACAGTCACAATCTCAGTAAAACAAATCAAAATATAAATATATATATATATACTTTTTATATTATTTATATTTATATATTATTTATATATTATCATATATTATATATTTGTGGTTATGCTTTATTGATTTGTTTTACTGAGATTGTGACTGTTGTGCTTATTTACGTTGTAAATAAGTTGAATGTACTAAATCACTCACTCATTTAAATTTCATTAAATTATAGTCATGTTGAACTAAATTGTTTTTAAGTAATTTTAATTAGTTTAACAGGAAAGATCATCCAAAATTATAATTTCTGTTAACATCAGAAGATGATATTTTGAAGAATTTTGGAAACTGGTAATAATTGACATGATCCATAGTAGGGCAAAATACTATTGAAGTCAATAATGATTACAGTTTTTTTTTTAATTTTTTAAGTATCTTCATCAAAAGTAGCAAAGGTTTGGGACAAGTCAATAGTGAATAAATGATGATGGACTTTTCATTTTTTGGGCAAACTACTCTAGCCTCATAGACAGAATTATAAGCTCTCCTGAGGATTTTTTAGGGACTGAGCATCGGTGATGTGTAGGCCCTATTGAAATTGCTCTGATTATTATTATTATTATTATTATTATTATTATTATTATTATTATCATCATTATTATCATAAGGCCCCTATTTGAGGAAATTTTGAGGGTCTAAACATTCTCGAAAAACTCTTGAAATTTTTTCACACACAGCTGAAGTGGTAAAAAAGTTTTTTAGTTTAATAAGGGTTTCAGAAGTAGGTGTGGCAATATGGCTCGACAGCGCCACCTATAAACATTTGAAGAAGTGGCCCCCCGAGTTACGTTTCATGCACACACAAAAATTGCCATTTCAGGCATTGTTTAACAAACTCTGAAACTCTAAAATGTTGATGATAGACTTTTCATTTCTTGGGCAAACTACTCTAACTGTGACCACTTAATTTTTTTTTGTTTGTTTTGTTTTTTGTTTGTTAAATCATGGTTATGTCTTACTAGTTCATTCTCCTATTTTAATTAACTTAAGTTATGGCTACATTTTACATTAAGATGTAGAAACAAGTTCTTTTTTTTTTACAAGTAGCTAATCTAAAACACATTTCTAGGCAGCTAGCATTATGCTAAACTTTTAGCTTGCTAACAAAAAGCTAGTTGAAAACACTAAAAATAGCTTGTTTTAGTAATATAAATAGTGATAGTTTGTTCTTGCCAAGCATTCTGGTACAGAATAAACTAGAAATCCACTTTATTGACCTGACACCAAAAACTATGTGGAAGATGATTACAAATAAATTTAGGACAATAAGTACAAAACTTGATGTGAATTTTTCTGAGTCTGATTACGAAAACAAAACCAAAACAAATAGAGTTGTGTAGACAATAAACAACTGATTTTATTTTAAAACCCAAACTGCAGAAAAGAAAGAAACAGCAAGAAAACTAGATCTTTCTTTTCTTAAAATTATTAACAAAGTACATTTCTGAAGATTGTTTTTTCCACAGTGAAAACCCACACTAGCGACATCTTGTCTTCCCTCTAATGCAACTCGTGGAAAAATGGTGGATGTTCTGTCCATCACTAGGTTAAACATGAAATGAGTTAAGAACTGTTTTGAGGTTGTTTTTTAGCACAGACAAAAATATATTTTTAATGAAAGAACTGTATTAAAGTCTGCGCAAAATCTAAATTTACAGTGTTTATTTTGCTAGCTCACATTGTTATTCTTAAAGGTGCAGTAGGTGATCTGCCAAAATGCTAATCGGTTAGCATATTAGCTTTGGATGGAAGGGGAGGTACTGTGTTTCAAAGCTACGCCTCCTGAAATTGCAAACGCGACCACCGCGACGACACGACAGCAGACAACCCACTAGTTCATGTCATTCCCCAGTTAGAAGTGTACATAGTGGTTGGCCCGGTTGCGTGCAGGAATTTCACTTATTAAGCCACACTTACATGCAATTTCAGAGCGAATATTCAGACTAGCATGGTAAACAATATAGGGAGCGCGTCACAAGCTGTCATTGTTCAGAAATGACCCAATGTGAATATAAAAGCAGATCCAGCTCAGCAAGCAGGCTAGGCAGAATAGCGCTATTTACTGATGTTTTGTTTTTAAACTAAATATAAATCTACATTATCGATGCTGTAAAAGGCCCTTATCAAACCGAAAATACACAACACTCTCTACATCAGCTCTGCATGAAACTAAATAGTTTTAAAACAGAACATTACCCGCTAAGAGTAATACTTGAGCCAGGGTGTCGTCCTTCCTCCAGCGTGCAAAAATAACTCAGGAATGATTCAGAAGTTTAAAAAGTTTCAATTCAGCATTAGATTTCGCTGTGACTGTGACTGTGTGCATGCGCAAGCCCAGCTAGACATGCAAGCGAGGCGTTCATGCCGGCGGCAAGCCCAAATCTGCATTTGCTGACAGAAAGATTGAGCTACTTATCGCAATTATGGGAGATGTCGGTCCGACAATATTTAATTGGATGAACATTTTTTTTAGTTTTATGCCTTACTCAGAATATAACAATACATATAAACACATTTAGATCATTTACTGTAATCATTACTACTGGACTGTGAAGAGACTTTTAGCCAGCACAACAAAAAATGCTTCTGAAGACAATTAACTACTGCACCTTTAAGGTCAATAAAGTTAATACACTGAAAAAAACTGGTTTGGTAATCTTCAACCAAACGGACCATTTGCTTATATTAATAGCCTCGTTAGTTTGCTATGAGGGAATGATGCGCAAAGAAAGCCCCGCCCTCTACTCAATATTCTGTTTTAGTTGTAAGTACATCAACCTATTGAAATAAACGTCTCAGCACTTCTGTTTCACGTGGACTTTAAGAATCAAAATAACACATAAGAAAAAGTTAGTCTCAAGCCTGACAGCCATCTTCAATCAGTTTCTTTGCAAAGCTCTTCAGCTCATCACATTTCTTCTGCAGTGTTGATCCACATTCAGACTCATCTGGCCAGCGCTCAACCCACGTTTCTTTCCCAAGCGTATACACATACCTGAGAGCAAACACAAGCAAATGATCAAATATGAATCCAAATAGATATATAGTTGAAGTCAAAATTATTAGCCCCCCTGTATATTTGTTTCCTAATTTCTGTTTAACAGAAATAAGAATTTTTTTTCAATGCATTTATAAGCATAATAGTTTAACTGACTAATTTCTAATAACTGATTTATTTTTATTTTTTATTTTCTAATAATTTATTTTACTAGATATTTTTCAAGATGCTAGTATTCAGCTTAATGTGACATTTAAAGGCTTAACTAGGTTAATTATGGTAGGGTAATTAGGCAAGTCACTGTATAACAATGCTTTGCTCTGTAGACAATCAAAATAAAATATTGCTTAAGGGGGCTAATAATATTGACCTTAAAATAGTTTTAAAAATGATAAAAATAGCTTTTTTATCCTAGGGAAAATAAAACAAAGAAGAAAAAATATTATCGGAAGTACTGTGAAAGATTCCTTGCTCTGTTAAACATCATTTGGAAAATATTTAAAAAAAAAATTTTTTGTTGTTATTAATAATTTTTTGTTAATAATTATGAATTATTTATAATTATTGTAAAATGATAATAATTATCAGGCCCGTAGCCAGCCTGGTGAAAGGGATGGTTCTTTTTTGTCAAAATGTGGACTTTTTTGCAGTTATTCAACTCAATTTCTATTTAATTATGATGTTTAAATACTCCAATAAGTGGCATTTTAAGCACTATTTTTAGCTGGATTAGCTTGTTGTATCCTCCATTTTTGATGTACCAAAAATATTTCCTAAGGATTTATAATAAACAAATATAAAAAAAAGAGCTTCACAATTTTCTTCTACCCTTTCTTGAAAATTTATCTAACAACATTAGCCTAATTAGTATAAACAGCAAAAATCGGTCGAAGGCACTAAAAAAAGGTGGAAAAAAAAACTTTATTAACATGGCTATTTCTTAAAACTGCGCCTAAACGTTTTGATAACACTTGACTTCATCAGGGTAACCTGATGTAGCTGCAATTTTAAGGAACAGCCATGTCAATAAAGGCTTCTCATTATTTTTCCCATATTTTTTAATGCCTTGGACTGATTTTAATGTTAATTCTGATGAATCCCTTACACAAAGAGCACTGACACATAATTTAAGCTACCCCTAAAAACTTTTTTTGTTTGGATTTTTATATGCAGCCTAATTAGTATTAAAATTAACTTTAATAGGTTGCTTTTGGTGCTTTCGACCTTTTCATTGGTCTTTTTTTTCTCTCAAGAATAATGTTCAAGATTTTAAATAAAAGTTAGGCTACTTGTAAAATGTTTTTTTTAACAAGTCGGTCAATGGTGAAAGTTGACTTCACTTATGTCATATTGTGCGTTTTCTTAAAACCTTCAATGGGTTATTTCCACAATTGATGATGATATTGCAGTCAAAATAGGTCAAATGAGAATATAGTGGCAAATATTCTAGACCAACGGCAAATTCTTGACCTTTGTCAGTGGGGGGCGGGGGGGATGGGTTTGACTTTAACTTTATATGTTATCAGTGGTATTACTTTACTTACTTGTTGGACACTGTGCTCCCTGCATTCCAAACATCAGTGATCGGCCCAATGACCAGATACTCCTGACCCTCTTTCAAATTAAGCCTGGTCCTGCAGCTTGCATGAGAGAGGAACATCCTCCTCTCCTTCTCATTCAGACCTTCCTCCGTCCCTAAAAACACAATATACACATGAGACCAGGGCACATATAAAATAAGAAAAACAGACTAAAGCCTGTATGTATGCTGTATGTTATATCCATAAAGTTTTTAGTACATTAAAGAGCTTCAAAAGTTCTTTAAAAAAGAGTTTAAAATGTGGGGTATTACATAAGAAAACACAGTTCAACACTTTAAAATATGATTTACCATTAAATTTAAACCCCCACCCCCCAAACACGTGCATGTCAGAGCCATGGAGATCTCTTTGTATTGCGCTGAAGCATGTGTGAAGCCTTCAGGTAGATAAATAGCACAGTGACAGACAAGAATGAAACTGATTTCCCTTACTAAAGTGAGCACTTTCCCAATGATTATTTGATGCATTTGTTGTGGAATTAATTCAAGCCTTTCTGCAATGATGAGTCACACATAATGTCATTATAAAGTTTGCATGCGCACGCACACACACACACACACACACACACACACACACAAACACACACAAACACACACACTCGTGCACACATAACTTTGTTCTGTTTTGCACGACTAATGTGACAAGACATACGTTAATATCCACTGCTGTATGGATATCTGTTGTGTTAATGTAGAAAATAAACCTGATTTAATGTCCAGGATTGAAGCGTCTTCTTTTATAATTGTACTGACATGCAGCTGTGTGCAGCGATTTTACTCTTTTTTTTTTTTTTATTAAAAACATGCACTGTTTTAAAAAGGTTTTAAACTCGTTCTTGAAGTCCAGATTATCACAGTGAGCTGAACAGATCTTTTAATCCCAGTTGCTTTGCGTACATCCTGTCTTGTGGATATGATTATATGGGTGAGTGGAAAAACAGCACTACTACGTCACATTGCGATCAACCTCAAAATGGGAGGGATTTGGCTCCTATTTTAACGTCAGAACATTAAAAGAAGAGACTTATTGTGCTCATATCACCCCAATTTGACTGTGGACACACTATACCTACACACAGTTCTGTCCAAAAACTTTCCAAAAATTGATTTTCATTATAAAATATGACTGTTCCTTTCTGGAAAAAATTATTTTTGTTATACCAAAATAAACTTAAGAAAATTTATAAATAACAAATAATTATTATACATGAATAAAAAGTCCAGAAATTTCAGAGCTGCGATGTGTTAAGTTTACTGTAAGACTATGTAAGTCAGCGTCACTCGAATGTTGTGTAACTCAAAAACAGCACATTATTTTCCCCTTCACAAATACAGACCTTTCTGGACGATTTCAGGTAAATTGGCATGAAAAGATCATGTGTGAATGGGCCCTTTTTGAAAATACCTGAAAAATATTTTCGTCAATTTTCCAGAATGAGAAGTTTTTAGTTACTGGTGAAGTCGTTTGAGTAATTTTATGTCAATTTACTGGTAGTACTGTAAAAAAGGTATGTCTACCTTTCCTATTCTCCAATATATTGTTCAGAATAACAAGAAAATAAGTAGTACATAATTAATTGCTGCCAAATGGCAATTTCATACCTCCATAAAGTGTTAAACAAACATACCTTCTTTGATAACCTGCACAATCTCCATCTCATACTGGTAATAGTGACTCTGGCTGATACTGATCAGCTTGACTCTGTAGGCTGAAGAAAAGTTGTTCATTGACAGGAATAATAAACAACAGTAATTTACCCTGAAGAAATATTCACCATGATGTAATCCGTTGCATACAGCGGCATTCCTCTGCTCTTTACCAAAAAATGCAAAGTCTTCCTTCATTACACAACAGTCTCCTGTGAAGGAAGGATTAATGATGTTTCTGGATAAAAGTGAGACGTTAAACTGAAAACACAAAGAGACTGACCCTGCGAGCAGCGGCACACGTCGCCTTCACAGATCTGATCCAGCTGCTGTTTGTCTTCAGGAGGAGAGTAGAACCTGCTACAGCTTTTATCTGAATAAATCATATAAAGTCACAGTCAAGCCTTTAGTTAACATAAAAATAATAAATGCAAAAAAAAAACAATATATTTCAGCCAAGAGAGGCATTGTCAGTAGAGTAGAATAATAGAATCATAAATATCTCTGCAAGCAGGAACATCCAATTTAATACTTTAGAGTTAATATTAGCAGTACCAGTGCTTAATTTGAGCCGGATCCTGTTCCAGCAAATTTCAGATATTCATGTTTTATGTTCTGATGTTTATTTTAACGGATCTGGCATTAACTTTGGCTTGGTGAATTTCTGCATGTGTGTGTGTGTGTGAGAGAGAGAATGTAAACAAGTCCGAGTGAAAAACAGCGAGCAAAGCTGTGTGGATTGTGTGTGCGCGCACAAACATAAAGGTAGTCACTTTTGACCAATCACTTTCTTACATTTATGATCGCTCTCATTGGTTAGTGATTATTGTTTCATGCGCATGGCATAGTGGGCTACATAAATAACATTTGTGTTTTCAAAATGCCAGAGGCAGTCAAGCGTGTATTATTTTTTTGAACCACGAGTAAATCTGACAATGAGCCTGATCAAAAGAGATCTCAAGAAGATGAAACTGCGCCGCTGGATCAGGACAGTGGGAGACAGAAGCAAAGTGATCTCAAGTCACAGAGTAAGTCATATTCTCCTGGCACATAATAGTGAGTGAACTGAATGTCAGTGGTGTTAGTAAACTGAAGAGTGATGTTTATGCAGTTTATGTTTGTAGCTACATGTTTGTTTGCTTTTTCAGGGTTAACCCATACCGTTATATTGCACAAAATAATTAAAGATTGTTCAGAAATTGTATGCCTTTCTTTCCGCTGTTACTCAGTAACGTCATGTTCTAGGAACACTGAAATTGTGTGGCAGATGTCGGTCATGATAACTTTTATTTCCTGGTTTTGTTCCAGAAATGATCCATTTACAAATGAAGCACTGAGCAGTACCACTTAGTAAACATATAAAGCATATTAAAGTATGAACCTTTGTTGTAGTACTGGTAAACTTTGACTGTGGAAGGCTGAAGGAGCCCCACTTTAAATTTCTGATTGAGTCTGAATGAGATCATTTCTGCCTCTTTGTTGGACACCTGTGCGGGATATCACACAAAGACAGATATTTAAATCATGCATTCATTTACAATACAGCATATTAACAAGACATGTAAGTCAAAAGTTCTTTATAGATTACCTTGAACAGGTGAATTATGAGGGATCCTCTGTCGCTCAGGTTGTCCACCACTTGGAAGTTGTTGATGTAGCGATCCACTGAATTTGTGAGCTGAAAAAGTCATGGCAGATGTTCACGTCTATAATGCTGGGCTCAAAATTATACCAAATACCATTAATTAAACATATGTCACAGTATTTATAATCAGCAATGACCTTTTTCTTGATGTCGACTATTTTAAAAGTAGCTTGTCACAATGCATTATAGGATTGCCTTCTTTATTATACATGGTCTGATGCTAAATTTGGCCAAACTTAAAGGTGAACTGCACCTAAAAGGCTGTCAAGGTTCTGTATACAATGCAGAATTAGCTGCTGTCACTAATGTAATGTCACACAAGTTTGGTCTTACCAACTCTAAATCAGAGTTTTCGGGTTCAAAGCCTGTAGGCAGGCCGATGTCTAGAATCACCATCCTCACTTGCCGTTCTTCTAGAGCCCTGTGTAGGTGAAAATTGGAAAAATATAGGAACCACACAATGCTAACTTGATTTAAAAAGCTGTCAACCCGTTTAGAAGTGCTCACCTCACATTGACATTGAGTCTGAAGGACTTTTCTACATCCGATGAGGTTTTTTCTAAAAATGGACAATAGAGTATTGGTGAAATCTATCCAGTAGACTTTTCATAAAGCTACATTGCAGAACGATCACATGAACACAAGTATTGTCAAACCCCCAGTCCATCCAGTTGGAAAAAAGAAGTATCAGGGGCCTCATGTATCAACGCTGCGTACGCACAAAAACTTTGCGTACGCCAGGTTTCACGCTCAGAATCGCTCACGTTTGGATTTACTAACAATGAACTGAACGTGGGAATGTGCGCAGCTTCACGGCAGCTTTCTGGCAGGCGTACACACATTTTTTGTGCGTGTCTGTTTTATTTCCATTGGCGACTCCTAGAGGCAGTTGTGTTAAATTCCTCTCTACAAAGTGTCTGAGCCTTGCAATGGCAGCTGTATGAGACGGGTTCAGCAGATATGTAAGGTTTCCATACCATACAGTTGACCAGCTAAACATTAAAGCACAATTTGCAGCGGTCGCCTGTTTTCCCAATGTAATCTGAGCGATCTACTGCACGCACATTGCTATAAAGACACTATCTGAAGATGAATTTGCATGCGTGAATCAGAAACATTTCCATTCAATAAATGTGCGAATAAAATATGATGCTTATTGATATGAACTTATTGATGATTCCTACTTTTCTTTCTCGTGATAAACAGTTGGCAAAATCTGATATGTAGCGGGGGAAAAAACAAGAAAGAGTTCATCAGACGCTGGATTCGAGCCGAGTTCATGCTCTAACGTATCAATTCATGATCACATGCGTCTTACGAGTAGCGCCACTGAGACTGTTAGGCGACCTGCAACATTTTACAGATATAAACCACACTATTTCTTTTTTTAATGCACTCAGTGCGATGTTCAGACCCAACTGTGTTGACCGCATCAGCTAAACTCTCCCACTCTATTTTTTTCTTTTGTTGTTAATTTCGGAGAACAAACTTGCAAATAACACCGCTTTTCTCCGGTCTACCTCTGAAAGCAGCACCTCCAATTCACATTCTGTTCAAAGTTTCTCTTTTTGCTTGCTTTTGACATTGCTTTTTCGTTGGGTTTTGCCATTAGCATAGTCATTAGCATATTCATACGGGGGAGGAGGCAGGGAGGGGTTTTGTGCTCGTGCATGTTGCGCTCAGTTTCACGTTCATTCGGAGGTACAAAAGAATATGCGTGGGATTCGGCGTACGCAGTGTTTCATACATCTGACATTTTTTCTGCGTACGCACATTTACAGCTTTGTGCGTACGCAATGTTTTAGTAAGATTTCCACGCAAGTCTTCGTACATGAGGCCCCAGGTGACTAAAACCAAACATTTCTAACAAAAAAAAAAAAAACATTTCTAAAAAAAAAGATTTTCTGAAACCCTGGGTATAGTGTCATCGTGTGGCCTATACAACTGAAGTTTTCACCCCATGATGTCAGAGGAGGGAGAAATCCCTTTATAAAAAATACTGTGAAAGTTACATTATTTCTGAAAGAATCAACAGTTCATAAATCCTGCACTGTACATCTCGGTATGGGGGAAAACACTGCAAACTTTTGTCAACTCACCATTAGTCTCAGCGATAGAGACGTCCAGCTGAAAGCCGTTGCATGTGCTGTTCTCATACACATCAGGAAGCTGATGGTAAACCGTCACTACCTATTACACATAAACGATGAATTACATCTAAATTTTTATATTCTAGTTCAAGATATTCTTGGTAAACATTGACATTTAGCACCTCCAAAACACCCTTGCCGTTCCCAGAAGCCGCCACTGAGAATTCCTGATCAAGAGGGACCTGGAAGACATTAAAAGTGTGTCATATTTCATACCAAACTTGTCTTTGTCTTCAAAAAGGAATTCAAAAGATGGAACATCCATAAACTCACTCGTGAAGAACGGGCCACATAAGCCAAGTTGGGATTGAAGGTCCAGCGAACATCACTCCGACCAGGAACGCTGAGCTGAACCAACAAATTGAGGTCTGACGGAGGAGGCCTCTTCACTAGATACTCAGACAGGGCCTGAAGAACCACCATGGTGGACTGATGGAGGAATATGATCATTATATGAAAACAAATGAACCACAACTACACCACTGGTCAAAAGTTTGGAATGAGTAAAGAAAAGTTGCTTAAGCAACATTTTTACAGTACAGAAATCCTCTGGAGTGTTAATGGGGTAATTATAAGACTTTTATCACATAATAAAAGTAAAATTACATTGTGATCAATCTAAATGATGTTACAATACATGGTTCTTCACTTGATGAAGGAATAAAAGAAGTCTTTTCTGCCTACCACAACTGCATATATTTGATCAAATATGTTGCAAAGTTGTGAAATATTCTTACAATTTAAAATAATAGTGTTCTCATTGGGTGTAGTCCCAATATTTTTTCATTATTGTTATTTAAAACAGAAGTATCAGCATTATTACTCCAACCGTCAGTGATACAGGATCCTTCTAACACTAATTTTAATATCACATTTTATAATGCGTCTGCATGTGTATACTATATATTAATATATAGTATACACATGCAGACGCATTATAAAATGTCTTTACTTTCACTCTTGGACTATTTATTGTGTCCTATAAACAAAAGAAAATACTGTACATTTTATTAGTAGTTACGAATGGTACTGTATAGGTTGTTTTTACATGACATTATTGATGACGCACGAAATTCAGAGGCAGGGCAGGAAGTGATTCCTCTACATAGGAATCACTATCAGAACATCAAAATGTTTCTGTTTTATGTTGTTTATAATTGTTTAAATCAGTCAAAATGAGAAATGTCAAACAGCTTTTATAGACTTCGAAATGCTTTAGCTCATAAAAAGGAAAAGGTTTAAGAAACTGCCTGAAAAATGGAAGAAAAGGCAGCATGTAATAAACATTTATTTAATACATCCATATGTACAAACTTTTTTTGAACAAGATAATTCATTTGACAGCACCAATAAAGATTATACACAGGCCTAGCTATGTATAGAAATATGCAAATGTGTTATATAAAAATCAGATACAAACACAACCACACTTATACAAAATCCAGGAGGATATAAATAACCCACCCTGCCATGTTATCGCTGCACTCAAATCTCTGTCTTGTTGTGCAATAATCCATGTCTTTACCAGCGTTTTGACAGAATAAACAACCGTAACGTCAACATCAAGATGTGTGGCAGCGCATAAATGTTTGTTGATGCGAAGTAAAAAAAAAAGAAATGCAACCCTTGCGACAAAACTAGACGATTATTATTGTGGAGCATTTTTCACTCTTACAAAAATAAATTAATAACAATGTAGACTATACATCCACACTTTTGTATGCTTTCATCTGTTTTTTCATTATGTCTGGAAGATATTCACATGTGGTAAAAAACTATAGTAAAGTGTTTAACTCTTTGTTAATGAGTGCTAAAGAATACTGTAGCATAGTAAACTGATATTCTGTGGTAATTATTGTAAAGTTAGTGTAAACTGTGGTGCATTGTGATCATAACGTAGAAAACTGAAGCCTATTGAATAATCTGTTTATTACTACAGTTGTGCTGTACCACAGCAACAATATGATTACGACAATTTCATTCAGGTAAGTATGCTTCCAAACACTATAGTATTTGCTATGGTATTTTTTCATGTAAAGTAATTATACAGTATGTACTGCATTATTGACAGGCAAATATAATTTAATAAAGTAGACTCTTAGTAAACTCGGTCCTCTTCATGATATAAGGATTAGGTAACACTTAATTTCAATGGTCCATTTGAGTATTAGTAGACTGTCTGCTTAATATCTGTTGATACTGCTGCTAAACAGACATTTAACTGACTATAAATAACTTTGAAAGTACATGTCAACTTACACTAACCCTAACCTCAACCAAACAGTCTACTTATAATCTAATGAAAATTAGTTAACATGTAGATGCAATGTAACTTAAATTTAACAAACAAACAATCAAAATAAAGTGCGATCAAGGATTATGCCCAACATATGTGGTTATTTTCTATTTATATCTCCTGACCTATGAAATATAGTAAAAATCGAAAAAACGTAAACTTTCCTTCGTGTTTCCCATTTATCTGAATTCTGTGCGTCACTAGAACCGCGTGATTGAAAACAACATATACAGCCTAACAATATTCAACACTGACAATAGTAATGAATGTTTCTCAAATCATAATTTTAGTATTTCTGAACAAACCTTCAACACTGAAATCTGAAAACTGTTTAAATCACCCTGAAGCTCAAGACCGGTTACTGACTGAAGATAAGCGGGGCTGAGCCTGGTCAGTACCTGGATGGGAGACCACATGGGAAAACTAGGTTGCTGTTGGAAGTGGTGTTAGAAAGGCCAGCAGGGGGCACTCAAGCTGTGGTCTGTGTGAGTCTTAATGCCCCACTAAAAGTGAAGAAGACACTATACTGTCAGTGGACGCCCTCTTTTGGATGAAACGTTAAACAGTGGTCTTGACTCTCTGTGGTCAATTAAAATCCCATGCCGGGGTTCCGGTTCTGGCGAGTGAGGGAATGGCAGCATAGTGCATCGTCTCCTCCGACGAAGATATTAATAACCCAACTTAAACTTAAGAAATACCCCAAACTGTTACAAAATAATCGATAATAGTGAGACAACAATGGAAACGAGAAAAAAGAGCAGGAAAACCAACACGAAACTCGTGGAAATTGAAGGCAGACAGCAAGTAGGCACCGCTGGAACACATGCGTTAGCACAGCAACACAATGCTAATCGTCAACAGTCTAGTAACCCTGACAACACGTAGATCAATCTGGAACCAATCCTGGAGGAAATTCAAGACTTTTGGAAGGACAACAACCGCCAGTTGGATAAAATCAAAACCGAATTAAATAAGACTAATCAAAGAATCAGCCACGCAAAGGATCGTATTGAAGAAATTGAAACCCGAATGCAAAACGTGGAGGAAATCATGCAGAAAATCATCAAAATACAATCGCAATTGGAAACAAACAGATTGACCAAGAAGGCAGATCAAAAAGAGACAATATAAGGATATACAATGTGCCTGAGGATGCAGAGAGAAACTCCATGGTTGATTTCGTAGAACAACTGTTGCGCGACACCTTGGATTTTCCCCCAGACACGGAGCTGTATGTAGAAAGAGCCCATCGGGCGCTCGTGCCGAAACCCGGAACAAATGCAAAACCTAGATCGATCATAGTAAAATTCCTCAGGTACAGAACGAAAGAAGAAGTGATCCGGAAGGCATGGGCGAAAAAAGAAATCTTCGTGGGAGAGCAAAAAATATACTTCAATCATGATTATCCTCCCGCGGTTCTCCAGAAAAGGAAGGATTACTCACAGGTGAAAAAAGTAGTTAAAGACAAGAAGATCTGATTCCAAACTCCATATCTAGCAAGACTACGTGTTTACTATGAGGACGGGGTCCACACGTACCATACAGCTGAAGAGGCCTACAGAGACATGGTGAAAAAAGGGTTCTGTGTGGAAAAAACGCCGCAGACAGAATTGTTAATGGAACAACTCAAACATATGTCGTGGAAAACTGTCTCGCATAAAAAGACAAAAAGAAAAAAAAATCAGCAATCAACAGACATCCGAGAGTATCTGCAGGCATACAAAAGATAATTTGAATCTGTCTATGCCATCTACAACAGACAAATACTTGAATTGGTGCATTTATATGGACCACAAAACTTGAAATAATTTCTACTCTTTTTTTTTTCGTATTGTTCAAATAACATCATATTATGTCGGACACGTGAGGTACGTTTTCTTCCATCTCATGTAAATACGGTGAACTGGGGGGCCCTGAATACCACCACAGAAAGAAAGGTCTCCCTCCCACGCTAGATGTCATCAGACTGTCCCAGGGTTGTTTGTTTGAGACCACTAACTTGGAAGCTCAATATGTTTATCAGGTTCTTGTAGTTTTCGTTATCGTTTCGTATATCGTTCTCCAGGGTTCTTTGCTTCCTTACTCAGGGGATATTAAAATACTAAACCAACATAAGTGACGAGACAAAAACAATTTCATTTAATGTTAATGGCTTACTTAATAAAATCAAAAGGAAACAAATATTGACTAAAATGAAGAAAGAAAATGCCCATTTAGTATACTTACAAGAGATACATCTGAATAATTCAGAACATGAAAAACTTAAAAGAATGGGATTTAACCAGATCTATTACTCATCATACACTACAGAGCATAGGAGAGGGGTTATAATATTGATTTCTCACAAAGTTATTTTTGAAAAAATATATGAATATGCTAACAAAGAAGGTCGTTGGAACATATGGAACATACGTTACGTTATTTAATATTTATGCTCCTCCTAGTAGTAAAATGAATCTCTTTCAAAATATATTTCAGACCATAGCCTCCGAAACGCAGGGTATTCTGATCTGTGGGGGTGATCTAAATATACACCTATAACCTGACTTAGACACAAATAAGAAAAAAAAATTTCCCAAACCCATTCTTCAGAAAATTTATGCAATGATGAATGATATTGGCATAATTGATATATGGAGAGGCTTGTATCCAAATACAAAATATTATACACATTTTTCTTCTCCGCATAATACTTACTCTAGGATTGATTAATACGTATTAATACGTATAAAATAGATAGAACCAGAGTTACGAGTTGTGATATTGGAACTATAGACATTAGTGATCATGCTCCAGTCTATTTAAAACTACAATTAAATAATAAATACAAAGACACCCTATGGAAATTTAACCTAAACCTTCTTAATAATCCATCTTTTAAATTACATTTTAAAAATGAAACTCACATATATTTAGAAAATAATGATAATGAAGAGGTCACTCCTCCTATACTGTGGGATGCTGCTAAAGCAGTATTAAGAGGGAAAACTATAGCATTTGCTTCACTAAACAAGAAACTCCGGCAACAGGAATTAAACAAATTACAGCATCAACTAAAATCATAAGAAAAAGAACACAAGATTAATCAAAACCCAAAAATATTAAAACAAATGAAAAAAAGTACAAAATGAAATTAATATGCTATATACTCAAGAGGTCGAGAAAAAAATATCGTTCTCCAGGCAAAAATATTATGAAAGTGGCCCCAAATTTATGAAAATAATGGCATGGAAATTAAGAACACAACAAGCAGACCAAACAATATATAGAATCAGAGATCCTGTGACCAACACAATACAAAACAAACAAGAGAATATTCAAGCTATTTTTTAAATGTTTTACAAAAAACTGTACTCTGAAATGCCTGAAGATAAAAACAAAGAAATTGACATTTTTCTTGACAAATTGGAACACTAACTGACGAACAAAACAAATTATTGTCAATATATAACAGAAACTGAGGTTTAAAAAGGCCATTACTAAGCTTAAATTTAACAAATTTCCAGGACCAAATCGATTTACTGGGGAGTGGTATAGGGCATTCCAAAAAGAGATAATACCTGTCTTGATCTGGTCCTTTAATTGGACCCTAAAAAATGCAACTGTTCCACCATCATGGAAAGAAGCAATTATATCTATCATTCCAAAAGAGGGCAAAGACAAGTCACAGTGTGGATCATACAGACCTCTATATTAAATGTTGATTATAGATTATATACATCAATCATGGCCAGACGAATGGAAGACTTCATGCTCAACCTGATAAACCAAGACCAATCTGGATTCATCCGTCAGCGTCAAACTAATGATAATATTAGACACACATTACATGTTATGAACCATATCAGGAGAAATAAGATAACAGCAATTATTTTAAGTTTAGACGCTAAAAATGCTTTCGATTCTGTCAGCTAGACATTTCTTTATAAAGTCTTAGACAAATTTGGCTTCCACAAAACTATAATCAAAAGTATACAAGCACTTTATGATACACCAACTGCAAAAATAAAGATCAATGGCCACCTCTCAAACTCATTCACATTGGAAAGAGGCACCAGACAGGGATGCCCGTGGTCCCCTCAATTGTTTGCACTCTATTTGGAATCCCTAGTAAAAAGCATAAGACAGAATAAAACAATTCAAGGTATTGTTTTTAAAGGAGTGGAACACAAGATAGCCTGCTACGCAGATGATGTATTGATTTATATAAGAAATCCAACCACTTCATTAACCCATCTCATGAAACAACTCCAATACTCTAGTCCTATCTCTGGATATAAATTAAACATAGAAAAAAATGAAATTATTACATATATTTATAATCCCCCTACAAATATAAAAAATGTATACTCACTAAAATGACATACAAAATCATTAAAATATTTAGGTATCCATCTAACAAAAAACACAGAAAAAATAAACTTCGACCCTGTGACTGCTAAAACTAGAGAACATTTGACCAGATGGAATTTAATCCCCTTTTTTAGCTTTAGTTCGAGGATTAAAACAATTAAGATGAACATTGTACCAAAAATTGTATATTTATTTCAGTGTTTACCTGTAGAAAAACAATTTATAGAATGGGATAAAATGCTTTTGCGCTTCATTTAGCAGGGAAAAAAGCAGAGAGTTCGCTTTAAAACACTGCAGCTGCTGAAAGATAAAGGAGGATGGGCTCTCCCCTCTCTAAAAGACTATTATATAGCAGCACAAATCAAGACTATTGTAAACTGGTGTGACCCACACTATCATGCCCCATGAAAAGATATAGAAAACTTAACATTCAGAAATACGCCTGTTCATGCCATATTAATAGATGAAAAATTACAAAAATATACAAAACAAATAGAAGACCCATGGACAAAACTTACTTTAAATGTCTGGACATCAGTGATGAAAGAATTGAACTTGCTAAAATACTGTACAGTTTTAAAATAGATTGCTTATGATTCTGATTTTACACCAAACAGATTAGATAACAGAGTCAAATTATGGGCAAACAAGGGTATAACTTCCTTTAGTACCATCATTAAAAAGGGAGAAATTTTAAGCTTTCAACAATTAAAGGACAATTTTCTACTTGAAAATCAAGATTTTTATAGGTACCTCCAAGACAAGTGCGAAACTATTACAATCAGAAAATAAAAGGAAAACATGAAGACAATTAGAATCCACTGATAGATCTAATTAAAAAAGTACACACATTAGGTATAAAGTACAAAATAGTCTCTCTGATATATAAGAGTCTGAGAAGCATGAAAACACATTCCACAAATTATACAAAAGAAAAATGGGAGACAGAAAGTGGAACAGCATTCACTGATGAAGAGTGGACAAATATAGGGGAATTTCAATGGAAATCAACAAGTTCATTCAACTGGAACGAAAAAAAAGTCTCCAAAATGCTGGCGTAACTGCAGATGCAATAAAGCAAACCATTATCATATCTTTTGGGAATGTTTATATATTTAAGAATATTGGAAAAAAATACAGGAGGCTCTTGAACATATATTTGAAAAAGATATACCTCTAGAAAGTAAATTGTTATATTTTGGCTGTGTGGATCCAGATACAGTGAAGGCAGACAATAAATACCTTACGCGTGTTCTCATGGCTGCAAGCAAATAAGCAATCACACGCAAATGGCTACAGCAAGAGCGACCAACCCTTAGTAATTGGATAGACGCAACTATTGAGATCTATAAAATGGAAAAAAATCACCTTTGTTGTCAATTTAAAGAAGGATATATTCCTTAAATGGGTTAAATATATTTTAGTTAGAAGACCTGACTTTCTTGCTATAAATGAATAGAAGATGATGTTCTGATAGATACATATATGCTAATGTATGTACATGTATATGGTTACACTTGTTCATATTATAATATGTCCCCATGTGTATAATGAAGATGGTCACTCGATACTCTGGAAGGAATTATATTATCTCATACAATCTATCTAATACATGTGTTCTAACCCTGGATGTAAATAGTGTTTTAATTTCCATTTATTTCTGATTATTATATTATACTTGATCTTTTTCTTATTATTTTTTACTTTTCTTCTCTCTTTATGTTATAATTTACAAAATTTTAGTACTACTGTGTAGTAAATACACCTGACAAAAATGTACATACTTTTTATACCACCTAAGTTCACATGCTGAGATACCAATGTTCCTTGAAATGCTGTATGATTGTACTCAATTGAATGTTCAAAATAAACAAAGTTAAACATAAATAAATAAATCCCATGCCACTTCTTGTAAAGAGTAGGGGTATAACCTCGGTGTCCCGGCCAAATTGCCCCAATAGGCCCTTAACCATCATGCCCTCCCAATCATCCCCATCCACGGAATTGGCTCTATCACTGTCTCTCCACTCCACCTATAGCTGATGTGTGGTGAACGCACTGGCACTGTTGTCCTGTGGCTGCCGTTGCATCATCCAAGAGGATGCTGCACACTGGTGGTGGTGATAGTGAAGTGCCTTGGGTGTATGGCCATACACAATAAATGTGCTATATAAATACACACATTACATTACAGAAATACAATTTTTAACTGTATTATTTGGTCAAATAAATGCAGCCTTAACGAGCAGAACAAGCTTCTTTTAAAACCCCAAACGTTTGACTGTTAGTTTAGATCATTCATACAGGTTTACTTCACCTGAGTAGAGCCGTATCCTCCACCAATGCCACGGTGCTCATTCAACCATCGAAATGGAGCTTCTGCCTCTTCCATGTGGCCACTTTTGATCAGCGCTAGCAGTGCGTAGCCTGTAGCTTCCAGTGTGAAAAAATAATTGTTTGAATCAGGCCAGTGGGAATGATCTGTGGACAGACAATAAAGTATAATGAGAAAGAGAAGATGACATATTGTGTTCATATTTGTGCGTTTAAAATGTAAGTACCAGGTGAGGCAAATTTGAGCAACATGCTCTTCACGCAGGCGTTGTTCGATACGGCTAGCGCATAGCATGCTATAGCTGCTGTATATGGCCTGGTCAGCCGGGAGAAATGCTCTGTCAGATACCCTGCTGCCTGTCTAGACTTATCCTGTGGAGAAAAAAATACAAGTAAAACCATTGAATATGTAAAAAAAAGTACATTATTATAGCCAGTACAAATAGTTTTGGTCTTGTAGATTCATAGTTCACAGGCCTGGTAGTATGGATCAGGGCTGTACTTGTTTACTAATTTAGCCTATTAACATAATATATATTTTTACACTTCATGACCTTGAGATGATGAAAAGAATGAATTGTTCAAATTATTTATAAACAATAATTCAAATTATGTATTTAGATAATGTCTAAATTATATAATGAAACATTTAACAATTTAATGTAGATATTACTTGTTTAATTTAGCTAGTGTGCTAATTATTCTAACTATTGCAAATAGCTATCACTACTACTTAATTTAGCTACAACTATTTAATTTAGCTTCTGTTCTTCTGTTCTTAAACCGTTCAATTTAGCTATTATATTAATTATTTAATTCAGTTATCATTATTTCATATAGCTTCCACTTTATTGATGTTTTAGATTTTGTTAAAGTATTGAATGTAGCCAACTAGCCATATTTAAATGCTGATATTTTCAGCCATTTTAACAAGTGAATAGTGCAGATACCCGTATGTTGACTTCTTGATCTTGGCAAGTAACTTTATCTTGTGCCTCTGCTAAAGCAATGAGCACAAATGCAGTCAAAGATGCTTTGTATTCAGATCCCCGCATAGCTCCCTACAACACAACACAACACAACACAACACTGTGAGAAAACATTCAGATAGTGTTAGGCTGCTTTGACACAGCCTACATTGTAAAAAGCCCTGTAGAAATACAGATGACTATTAACTTTGATTATTATGTCACAGTTATTAAAGGAACACTTTAAAATAGGCTCACCTTGAGCTAAAAAGCAGCATTTTACCATTTTGGAATCAATTCAGCCGATCTTTGGGTGTAGAGGGAACACTTTTAGCTTAGCTTACCTTAGCATAGATCATTGAATCAGATTAGACCATTAGCATTTCGCTTAAAAATGGCCAAAGAGTTTTAATAATTTCCTATTTAAAGCTTGAATCATCTGTAGTTACATAGTAAGGCCGACAGAAAATGAAAAGCTGCTGTTAGGTTTATATGACTAACTAATATACTCTCATTCTGGTGTAATAATCAAGGAACTTTACTGCTGTACTACCATGGCTGCGGCATGAGCAATGATATTATGCAACACGTAACCATATCGGCCTAGAAAATAGCAACTTTTTTTCTTAGTACATAATGTAACTACAGAAAAGTTAAGCTGAGAAAATTATCAAAACTCTAGATGCTAATGGTCTAATTTTATTCAACGATTTATGCTATGCTTTGGAAGCTAAAAGGGCTCCTGCCAGACCCGGAGATCGGCTGAATGGATTGGAAAATTGTAAAACTCAAACGTTTTTACCTCTAGGAGAGTTGAAAAATGAGGCTAAAAAGCGGAGTGTCCCTTTAATTCTTACCGTCATACTGGTGTCATAGACGGGATTGTCCTCTTGAAAAGTTCCATCATAACCCTGTTTATTCTTGAGTAAATAGAGCAGAGGGCCACACAGATGCTTCTCATTGACATTAATGAATGAATGCGCCATGGAGAAAACCTTCACCACATACGCAGTGATCCTGACAGGGCAGAGCAGAAAGACACATGAATTCTGGGAAATGTAAAGCTGTTATTATTGCGTCGGTGTCAATACCATGTGCTGGTGCCTTCATTGGCGTAGGGAGGGTACGAGTCGTCTGATTTTTTGTAGTTAAGTTGATTTTCATAACCTAGAAAATACAATTAATTTAAGAGCACATTAATAATATTAGAGATGCAATAAAATGTTGGTAACAATTTAGTTCATGCACCTTTTCTCACTATAAACTATTAGCCTATTTACTGTCTATTATTGTTATTGTTATAATATTGGCTGTTTTGTTTGTACTTATAAAGTACATATTCTGCATGATCTTATTTTATATCCCTAATACCTATAACTTATCTAAACCTAACTACTACCTTATTAACTAAGCAGCGAATCAAGAGTTTGTTGAGCTAAAACTCATAGTTAATAGTTTATTAACAGCAAGAATTGTACCTTCAATGAAGTGTGACCCAGCTTTTTGTAATAAAACATTCACAAACACAATTTTATTTCAACATAAAAAGTACACTAATGCTATTTTTATTGCTCCGCTTTAAACCATATCCATTTTTCAAATAAGAAATTATATAAAGTCTAAACAAAGATTTGAAAGGAATGCTACAGGGCAGTACAACTGCAAAAACTTTTGTTCGCTTTAACACTAAAAACACTAAAAACCAGTAGAAAGTGAAAATACAAATTTCGTAAAACTTGGTCTCCTAAACATCAGGTCACTTGCACGTAAAGCACTTGTCATTCATGAAATAATAACAGAAAACAATCTTAATGCACTCTGTCTCACTGAAACCTGGCTGAAACAAAATGACTATATTAGCTTAAATAAAGCAACTCCTCCAGGATTCTTATATAAACATGAGGCTCGTCAAACTGGTCGTGGTGGTGGAGTTGCATCAATCTTTAGTGATTTCCTTAATATTAAACAGAGAAACGGACTTATGTTTAGCTCCTTTGAAGTATTATCGCTTAATGTTCAGCTTCCAGATACTATACAAAAACCTATGTTATCTCTCGCTTTAATCACCATATATAGACCCCCAGGACGCTATGTCAAATTTCTAAAAGAATTTTCTGATTTTATTTCTGACTTACTAGTCAAAACTGATAAAATGCTAATTGTAGGTGACTTTAACATCCACATAGATGACGCTAATGATACATTAGGGCTCGCGTTTATGGATTTAATACACTCACTTGGGATAAAGCAAAACGTTGTGGGTCCAACCCATCGCTTAAAGCATACATTAGATCTAATTCTGTCTTATGGAATCGAGGTTATTGACGTAGACATTATACCACAAAGTGATGATATTACAGATCACTACCTCTTACTATATAAGCTATGTTTACCTGAAATCAGCAAACCCGCTCCAATACTCCACCCTAGTAGAACTATTGTTCCGTCAACTAAAGATGAATTTATAAATAACTTACCTGATCTCTCTCTATTTCGTAATGCACCCGCAAACTCAAATGATCTTGATGTAGTAACCAGCAGTATGGATGCCATCTTTACTAGCACACTAAATACTGTGGCACCCATCAAATTAAAAAAGGCTAGAGAGATTAAAACTATACCATGGTATAATAGTCATACTCGTGCGCTCAAAACTGCAACCCGCGCCCTGGAACGTAAATGGAAAAAAACTAATTTAGAGGTCTTTAGAATTGCGTACAAAGACAGTATGTCCAGCTATAGGAGGGCTCTAAAATCTGCCAGGATCGAGCACCTGCGCAAACTGATAGAAAATAATCATAACAATCCTAGATTTTTATTTAACACCATCTCTAAATTAGCAAATAATCGGTCATCCTTGGAACAAACTACTCCACCGCAAATTAGTAGTGATGATTTCATGAATTTTTTTCAGTAATAAAATAGAAGGCTTTAGACAGAAAATAGGAGATGCCAAACTTTCTGCACCGGCTTATACTCCAAATCCTGTAAATATTTCATTAAATCATAATAATAACCTACACTGCTTCAAAATCATAGAACATGAAGAGTTAGTAAAAATTATAAATAGCTCTAAACCAGCTACGTGTATGCTGGACTCAATTCCAACAAAATTACTGAAAGAGCTGCTACCTGCTATAGGAGAACCTCTTCTTAACATTATCAACTCTTCTTTATCTATAGGCCATGTTCCAAACTCTTACAAGCTAGCTGTTATTAAGCCTATTATTAAGAAACCGCAACTAGACACCAACAACTTAGCTAACTATAGGCCTATTTCTAATCTTCCATTTATGTCTAAAATACTAGAAAAAGTTGTTTCCACTCAATTATGCTCTTATCTGCAGACATACAATATTTTTGAAGTGTTTCAGTCAGGTTTCAGGGCTCACCACAGTACAGAAACCGCCTTAGTGAAAATAACCAACGATTTACTCTTAGCTGCTGACCGAGGGTGCGTCTCGCTATTAGTTTTACTCGATCTTAGTGCGGCATTTGATACCATTGACCACAATATCCTCATAAATCGTTTAAAGTCTACAGGTGTCCAGGGACAGGCTCTACAATGGTTTAAGTCATACTTAACTGACCGCTACCAGTTTGTAAATCTTAATGGACAGCCTTCACAAATCTGCCCAGTAAAGTATGGGGTGCCTCAAGGATCAGTTTTAGGCCCTTTACTGTTTACAATTTACATGCTACCTATGGGAGACATTATTAGAAGACATGGGATCAGCTTTCACTGCTATGCAGATGATACTCAATTATATATTTCCACTAAACCTGACGAGACGTCTGAACTTTCTAAACTAACTGAGTGTATCAAAGACATCAAAGACTGGATGACCAACAATTTTCTTCTCTTAAACTCAGACAAAACAGAATTATTACTTATTGGGCCTAAATCTTGCACACAGCAGATCTCGCAAATCAATTTACAATTAGAGGGATACAAAGTTAGCTTTAGCTCTACTATAAAAGATTTGGGTGTCATATTAGACAGCAATCTAACTTTTAAAAACCATATATCCCATGTCACAAAAACTGCCTTCTTTCATCTGAGAAATATCGCTAAATTACGAAATATGCTATCCATCTCAGATGCAGAAAAGCTAGTCCATGCTTTTATGACTTCGAGACTGGATTACTGTAATGCTCTATTTGCTGGCTGCCCAGCATCCTCTATTAACAAACTTCAATTAGTACAAAATGCAGCAGCCAGAGTTCTGACCAGGTCTAGAAAATATGATCATATAACCCCAATTTTATCCTCCTTACACTGGCTGCCTCTTAAATTTCGTATTGAATTTAAAATATTACTTCTCACCTATAAAGCTCTAAATAATCTAGCTCCTGTTTATCTAACCAACCTTCTGTCTCGCTACGAACCAACTCGCTCCTTAAGATCTCAAAATTCAGGGCTTCTGGTAGTACCTAGAATAGCAAAATCAAGTAAAGGAGGTCGAGCCTTCTCTTTCATGGCTCCTACACTCTGGAATAGCCTTCCTGGTAATGTCCGAGGCTCAGACACACTCTCCCAGTTCAAAACTAGATTAAAGACCTATCTGTTTAGTAAAGCATACACTCAATGCATCACCTAGCGGGTTCCACACTGGCTTCTGCATCTTGCTTATATACACTATGAACAGCAGCTACGCTAATTATTCTCTTTATTCTCTATTTTCACCTGGGGATACTCATCCCGAGGTCCTCAGATTAGGCGGAGTCACTGATTGGATCCAAGACCAGCGACGTGATGATCCCAAGGATTCCATATCCGGGACCAGGCCATATCCTGAGCTGCTGCTGCGCTGATGGTCGTGGGGAGTGGAGAACATGAGTCTGATTCCAGCGACGCTCCAGGGACAGACGAGTCTTCATTGAGGCCATCTTCCAGCATAAACCACGGCGAATGAAGTTCTGCACAAGACTTTTGGCCAGCGGAGAAATTAAAATGGTCGTGCCCAACTGAGTCTGGTTCTCTCAAGGTTTTTTTTCTTCACTCCCATCAGGTGAAGTTTTTTTTCCCTCTCCGCTGTCGCCACTGCCTCGCATGGTTCAGGATTGGTAGAGCTACGCATCGATGAATTTGCTCTTCAGTTTTTGAACTCTCAGTAATGATTAAATCACACTGAACTGAGCTAAACTGAACTGAACTGAACTTAAACACTAAAACCTGAACCACACTGTTCCAGTTACTGAACCACACTGTTCCAGTTACTATGACCATTTATGTGAAGCTGCTTTGACACAATCTACATTGTAAAAGCGCTATACAAATACAGCTGAATTGAATTGAATTGAATTGAACTAACGATATTTATAGGGACATATTATTGACAAATAAAGTCACGCAACACCAAATAAATACCACAAAACACAATGGTATTTGTAGTCCAACATATTTGCCTCACTTATCTATCTTAAGTTTTCTACCATGGTCAGTTTACCCAATAGCTCACATTTTATCCCTGGCTTTTGAGTCTTCAACTATACTTAGCCATCAATGTATCCTCTTCTTTATCTTTATTTCACTGTAGGTCTTTATTTTATGTTCATGTTTGGGTTTTTATTTTATTTTATTTTGTTCTTTTAGTTGTATACCAAGGTAATAATAGTTTTGGATTTTTCGTTAGTTTTAGTTTTTATTTCGTTTTGTCTTCTTGTTTTCAAATTCAGTTAGTTTTAATTAGCTTAAGAGGTAAATCTACTAGTTTTTGTTATTTTTTTATTAGCGCTGTCAAAATTAACGCATTAACGCATGCGATTAATTTGAAATAATTAACGCGTTAAAAAAAAATTAACGCAATTAACACAGTTTTTTTTTTTTTTTCCTGTTGTGGCCAGGGGCAGATGCTTGGCAGTTTCCCGCTGTTTGGACGTACTTTTCGGACCGGGCTGATCATCTTATGATTGATCATCTTATGATCTGATTGGCCCATAAAACACTTAGCAGACTGTCATGTTTTTCTGCCTCAGTGATTGATGGTGCTGTGAGCTGTCTGTCACGCTCTGAAAGTAAGATGTTTCTTTTCCGGAAAGAGTGGCCGTATGACATAATCTGCAGCCCATTGGTTCTTTTCTTTATTGACATTTGGCTGACCCAATCCCAAACTTCCATGTTGGGCTCTGTGTAACGTAGGTGTGTATTCGTCAAAATAGCCTGTTTCCTAAGCGTGGGTCCGCGCTGCGGGAGAGCAGGCTTTTGCGTCTGCACTCTGCAGCGGGGCACAGATCAATATATTCCTGTCTATTCTATCTAGTTACCTATCTGTCCATGTAAATATACTTTTTTAAACTTTAAAATCTGCACCACGGCCGCGGCAACTTCCTATGCTGTTTCCTTAACCTGCAAGTCTTTATTTTACAAATTATAAAGAATATCTGCTTCTCACGCTCTATGAAGAGTGTCAGTCATGCATTTTAAGATGCACTTGGTCAGAAGACAAGCGCATGAGACATCATGACATTGTGTTTTTGATCGTCAGCATGATGTAGGCTTATAGTGACAATAATATTTATACAATATGGTTATAATGATATTCATACATGACCAAACTAGTGTGCAACTTAAGCAACTTTTTTTTTTACATATAGTTTTGTAGTTCTGCCCAAATAAATATTTGTGGCATTTTTTAATTGTTTAAGTTCATTTGATAGATAATGTAAAGGCTGTTAGCTACGTTTGATGTTTCATTGTTGAGTTAAACATTTTTTTAGGGTCTCTGACACATTGCTTTTATTATTTATCTTTTTTTATTAACCAACATTAACTGTGTGCGTCAGCAGGCAGTTTTTGTTATGTTCATTATTTATTAGGCTCCCTCAAAACACACAAGCATCCACATTTCCAGTGTGGATTATAATTTACTTTTAATAATGAATAAATCAAAAATTTGTTTTTTTATTATTTCCTATATATGGCTTTTGTGCTTTTATGGAATGGGAGTTGGTAAACATATTCAAAGGCATGCACAGATTTTCAATACATTATTGTTATTATTATAATTTTCCATATCTGCAATGCCTGTATTTTGGCATTTTTTTGCAGTCCACTTAGAATTCAACATGGAGATCAATGTTTTCTTTATTGGCATTGATTGTTTTGAAATTCAAATGGCTCTAACATGCCTGTGTTTTTATTTCTGTAATAAATATGGCTGTCAACCCAGGATCTTGATGGTTTATTGTGGGTATGTTGTTTACATGAAGAAAAATTAAAAATTCTAATAATGAATTATATTTTCAATTTAAACAGTATTTGTCTTGCGTTTACATTCATTTTACACTCGAATAACCAAAATTACGAGTTTCAGTCTTTTAAATGTGATCAATCTTGATTAATCGCGATTAAAAAAATTTAAGTGTGATTAATTAGTTACATTTTTTTTGATTGACAGCATTATTTTTTATATATTAAAATTGCTAAGTTTTGTTTGTTTAGTTTTAGTTTCAGTTTTTTGTGTGTGTGTGTAAATTAGGATATTTGTTAGGTGCAAGGCTCAAAATCATCAGAATAAATATTGTACAATAAAAACTGAACCAAAGATAGGCTACATTTTTTTGACACAAGAACACTACCATCTACCCATCCTCAAATTTAAATACAACAGCCCACAAGATAGCAACCTTAAGTACAATATGTGTGCAAAGCTGCTTCTGAGATTCTTTTGTGACAATCTTGCCAAGTTTGGACTCAACATATTAAAAATATGTAGTCAGCAATCATAATCATCACCATGATCTGAACAGTTTCTTACAATTACATTTTGCAAACCAACTGACGCATGATTCACTTATTTAAAATCCATTAAGACTTCAGCAGGCTGTCATGTACTGTTTGTGTTCGGTTCACCCTCTGCTGAATCACTGATGCGCAGTATTATCGGTTAACCACTTCTCGAATTTGATCTCAGTGTACTGTTCCAATAACTGAATAACTCAGCATAAATTGGTATATTTCCAGTCAAAGGGGGTATCAGGAAAGTAAAAAGTAAGTTGTCTGTAAACACGTGCTTAGCGTTACTAGAGAACTTAATAGTTAAAATGATCCAGTTTGATTTGGTGAATCAGTTCAACTGGTTCACTTAGAAGATCCGGTTAAAAAGAACGATTCGTTTGCGAACACTAATACAGAAATAAAACCAATTATTGGACACAAATGTGTTAAATTAATACTTTTACGTGTCTGCTCGGGTATTTATATTTGTCACCATGCTGCTGTAGACCCAAGTCTTGGCATCATTTGTATCTAAAAGAAACAAAGTTCATCCCTGTTTGAGTGTCATTGCACCTCTCTGTATGTATTTGATGGCCTCTTCTCTGCGACTGATTCCCACGATCTCCCAGTCTGCACTGCGGTCCAGGTAATGAGCTGCGATGAGGGGCAGAGTGATTCTGGCCAGGTTCTGCTCCACACAGCCTCCGGGCATCCGGATCAATGCTGCCAACGAGTCCTCCTTAATGGAGTTATCAATACTGTCTGCCAGCAAATCGCCTGGAGAAAATAATTTATTTTAATGCTAGAAAACGAATAAACTGCCATTAATCGCATCCAAAATAAAAGCTTGTTTTGACAAAAGATATGTCTATGTTTTATATATATATATATATATAATAAATAATAAATGTATTATATATATATATATATATATATATATAAATATTAAAACAGCTTACAGCTTACAAAACATTTTAAGAATATGTTTTAATAAAATGTCACACCTCTGACATTGACAAATGTTTCTGGTACAGATTTTGGCACAACAGCATCCAACTGCATCTTCTTGACTTGAATCAACTGTTGCCCAGCTTAGATACAAACAAATCATAAATCACAGACACAGGTCAGAAATCTATAAATGAAAGCATTTCATTAAGAAATGAGGATAATTCACAGATGCCTTGTTAATACATGTAATTAGTGGAATTTTTATATATTTTTAGAAGAAACGTAGTGTTCAATCTTATTGGAATGATTAATTCACATACATGTGACAAAGAAGAAATAAGATGACGTTTTTGTTTGGATTTGTTTTCTAACTGTAACCCCTCTTATCTTGTTTCTTTTTTATCATTGTCTCCTACGGTACCTGTATTTACTGGATTTAGTAGATATGCGTTTGAGTGAAATGTCATGTGTTTGAGTAAAATGTTTCATCCTATAAAGATCTGACAGCATTTCTTACAAATTTCAAAAAATTAAAAGTATTGCAATTTAGATCATTTTTAAGAAGACAATTAGTCAAGAAAACTATTATTTTTTCTTTTGTTGACAGTCATGGGTATAATAAATATTAGTATGGATTTTTTAATTCTTCTGAAGTTTGCAATGTGTTGCCTAAAGTACATATAAACCTGATGAAGACAAAATTTATAGAAAATTAATAAAAAAATGGCAACACTTTAGACAGGAAGCCAAGTTGGAAAGAGAGAGAGAGAGAGAGAGAGAGAGAGAGAAGCGGGGGTAGGGAAATGTCCTCAAGCCGGGATTCGAACTCGGGACGCCCTGATGTGCTACTGCACCATATGTCGGCATGCTAACCACTAAGCTATTGGGCTGACATTTATTCAGTTTTGAAGTTAGTTTCAGCAATATTATTGGATGATATAAAAATGTCTTTTAGTCGATATATTATAAGAGACACTTGCTTTGTTTACCAATTAAGTGGATCTTGTTGGATTTACATTGTAAACATTAATAAAAAGTTAAAAAGGTATTATTTTTAGAAGAAATTATAAAGTTTAGAAGAAATTTCATCAGTAGTTCACAGAATGAAGCAAAACAAAATATGTTTTACATACAAATGGCAAATCTAGAAAATCTGCTAATTTACAAGCGGTCTCACTTTTTCCAATAGCTGCCATTACATGATAAACGTTCATTAAACTCCAGTCTCACCACTGCCTCCTTTCTCTGATGGGTTTAACACAAAGCTCCTCACTTTAAGTGTCTGAATGCCTTCAACCTAAAACACACACACATACAAAACCATCAGAAACTACACCTTTGCACCATCTTAATATCATGTTAAAGATTCACTGTATATAATAGGCACACTGTTTATAATAGGCACTCACTACTACGCGTAGATTTTTCTTCACTGCATCTTGACCCATGAACGAGGCAGCGACAGCAGTGACCTGTAAAGGGAGCTCCCCTGTTTTCAGAGGGATGATGGTGTATGTAATGAGTTTAGAGGAACCGGCTGCTACTGTAACCTGCTGTCTGTGCTGTCCCGTATAGGCCACACTACACATGTCCTCTGTCTTCTCCAGGATCACCATCACCTGCGAACACACATCAATCAGGTTATAACTAGGAATGTGAATGAATATTCACTATTTGAAAACTAAAAGACATCATTCGAATTTCACAAAACTTCAATTTGCTGGTCATAAATAGAGCGAATTTATAAAAAATACTGAACGTCCGAACTAAAACTTAAAACTTATGACTTTTAAAGGCGTACGCAAATATTCAAACATTTCATTTACAGTAGTTGAGTCATCAAAAACACTATTTGAATTTTACTACGAGCATTTCTGTGTGGAGTTTGCATGTTCTCTTTGTGATGGTGTGGGTTTCCTCTGGGTGCTCTGGGTTCCCCCACAGTCCAAAGACATGTGCTGCAGGTGAACTGAATGGACTAAATTGGCCATAGTTTATGTGTCTGCATGTGAGAGTGTTTGGGTGGTTCCTACTACTGGGTTGCAGCTGAAAGGGCATCCTCTGTGTAAAACATATGCTGGATAAGTTTGCGGTTCATTCCGCTGTGGCGACCCCTGATGAGTAAAGGGAGTGAGCTGACGGAAATTGAATGAATGAATTTAACAAAACGTCACTTTGCTGACAGTAGATTGAGTAAAGACATGATAAAATAAAAATATAAAACTTGCAGCTATAACTATTATGAATTTGCATAAAGAGAATATTCAAATGTTTGCTCTGCATTTATTAAACAAATTATTACAAACATTATTCAAGTTCCACAAAATGTCACTGTTGGCCTAAATAGATTCAATCTAATCATAAATGCTGAGTGCGCAAAACACAACTTACTGTGAAAACTATAAAGGGTGTTTGCGAATAGTCAAAAATACAAATATTTGTTCTTGAAACAATTATTTGAATAATCGAATTTCTCTCTCTCTCTCTCTCTCTCTCTCTCTCTCTCTCTCTCTCTGTCTCTAAGCTCCTTCCCACATACAGACCTAGGGCATCATGTACAAAGACTCGCGTTGAATTAATACTAAAATATTGCGCACAGACAAAGCTGTAAATGTGCGTACGCAGTAAAAAAAAAATCAGATGTATAAAACATTGCGTACGCGGAATCCCACACATATTATTTTTGTACATCCAAATTAACGTGAAACTGAGTGCATGTGCACGAGTGCAAAACCCCTCCCTGCCTCCTTCCTTAAATATAGAAATGACTCCACTTTGGCAAAAACCAAACAAAAAACCAATGGCAAAAGCAAGCAAACTTCACAAAATGTGAATTGGAGGTGCTCCTATCGGACACTCTAAAAAACGCTGAGTTATTTATTTAACCCAATGGTTAAGTCAAAAATATTTGGTGCTTTGTTGTTTTTTTTTTGTTGTTGTTTTTTTTCCTTTATTTGGTTATTTATTTAATAAATCAACCAATTTTGAATTATTTGGCTGACACAGAACAGCTGTATTAATATGTGTACTTAATATTGTATTTGCATTATAAAGTTTATTCAAACTCGATTGTGTATGTATGTATATATATATCTCGTATACATATACGTATATATATATCTCGTATACATATATTGTGTATGTATGTATATATATACCTCTCCGTGTTGTGTTTTTATATCCATTTCACCAGCACTCTTAATTATTGATTAGATTGACTTCATAACCAATCTAAACAGATAAAAACGCTTAAGCGTCTGGAACTTAAAATTGTATGTTATTTATTTACAAAGCAATAATTATAAAATCAATAATAGTACTAGTAATAGAAGCAATAGTAATACCAAAATTGAAAAAATAAAATAAAAAAACATTTAATCAAAATAACCCATAGTTGGGAAGGTGCTATAATAACCTATAGTTGGGTTTAATGTTGGGGTATTTTTAATCCAAGTATTTTAACTGAGAAGGTAGACCAGAGAAAAACTGTGTCATTTGCAAGTGTGTCCTCCAGAATAACAAAAGAAAAAAAATAGAGAGGGAGAATTTAGCAAAGTGTGAACCGAACAGGCGGGGGAACAGGGGATGCTAAACTAACACCTTTTGACGAGAAAGTTGCCTCAATTGTGGGCGACACTTTACTGTCTGGAGTAGTATCCATGTCTGTGGGAGACAAAGATTTATTAGAGGAATACTTTGTTAGGGTGGTATAGCAGCACCCTTCCGCTCTCATCAAGGCAGCGCCACTGGCATTTCAGCCGCTTAATCGCCAGCCGGGCATCATTGTATCTGCGCTCTTGGTCAGTTTGTGGGTTGTTGAGAGGGGTTAACAGCCAAGTCTTTAATGGATAACCACAGTCTCCTGATATGCAGTTAAGTAATTACACTCAATAAAATAATTTTTAAAAACTTAGCAGGAATAATATCTTTAAATACATCACTCACCAAGAAGCCACCCATCGCGCACCCTGCCACCTTGGAGCCTCCTCGCTGTCTCTCATTCCAAATTTGGAACTCAAATTTTTGGAACTCAGCACAGAGCTCTAAGAGGATCAATCTTGGAAATCTTAAACTGCTAATAAGCCAGTCATCATCTTGGGCCAGAAAAAATGTCCTCTAAAAAGGCCAACACTGCCATTGCCATAGACTAAGGGTTGTATACATTTGCAAATGCTTTTACATGTTCTAAATCACATAATTGGTAAAAAAATATATATATATATATTGTGTCAATAAACCCATTTTATTAATTATAAATTAATAGCAATGTTTTTCACATTTGTTGTTTTTTACATGTGCGATACTTTGTAGTGTGCAATTTAACATAACTGCCACTAGGAGTCGCCAATGGAAATAAAACAAACACACACAAGAAATATACGTACGCCAGACATGAAGTTGGCGCGGACCAACGCACATTCTCATGTTCATTTCATCGCAAGTAAATCCAAATGTGCGCGTGAATTCTAGGCGTACGCAATGTTTTTGTTTTTGACAAAACTAAACCTACTTGCAAATGCAAAGCGGTAGTTGCTGCAGACTTATGAAGTGGATTTTATATTCTTTAAAATGTGAAGTTAATCTATATATTCAAATTGTATGTGTATAATCTGCTTGTAGACTTGCATACCAATAGAAGAATTACCATATCACAAGAAATGGATAAGTTATATAGTTACCAGATTTGGGTCAGGGGTTAACTTAGGTGGAAATTGAGGTCAGGGGTTAACCTAGGTGGAATTTGGGGTCAGAGGTCAACCTAGGTGGGATCTTGTGTGACAAATTAGAACAAATGGAAAAAACAGTTGTAAAATAGTATTTAAGGAGGGCAGAAGATGAGTGAGACAGAATTTTTCAGACAGAGATGCTACTGGGGGTCTCCTGAAAATTCTCCTTTGTTGTCGACAATAAAGTATATTCTTCTGATATTCATAACCTCCAGACTGAGTTTGATTTAGTAAGAAAAAACCAAGGAAACCACTACACTTACATCCCATTTACACGGGCATCAGCTTCAACGCTTCCCATTCACTTTGAATGGGTGACGTCAAACATTGCCGAACTGCATTGTAGATCCGTCGGTGCCACTTCAGTGGCATTGCTCGGTGCAGAAATTGGGACTTGCTCAACTTTTCAAGTGCCAATGGAAGCGTCAGCCAATCAGATCTCTGTATGCAATTACACCAGCTCAGACAGTAGCTGATTGCTGAATAATTTCATTGGCTGACGCTGCTATGATGATCGCATCAGCCCCAACTTCAGACACGCCCTCTGTCAAGCGTTGATGCTGAAGCCCCATGATGTTGTGTTCACACCAGACGTGGAACGCGCGGATAAATTGCGCTATTCGCGCATAAATAGCCACGTGAACATTTGAGTTTACTCGCTTCATACGCGCGTCAAACCCCGCTTCATTCGCGTGTCAAATTCACATCAGAACCAACGCGGATTCGCGTGATGGGCATGGCTTCTGTCTGCTCGAAGACTCTAGATTCATAGCTAAATGGCTAACATGGGTTTTATAAAGAAAATAACAGTGTTTATGTGCTTTATGAAGACTGAAAAACAGCGTCGATACGTTTGGGTTGTGTCTGAGTCCTCTACATTCTTTCAGAGGTGCATCCAGCTCTGTGAGCTCATATACTCCTCCAGAAACTTAACCTGGATGACGGAGGCTTTCAGCGGTGCTTCTGACTGAGCCAAGCCGAGTTTGATGAACTGTTGTCAGTGAAGGCTGGAGGATTTCCCCTTTAGAACACCGACAACAAGAGCAAGCTTCTGATTGGTTAACGCGGTGCGAATGTACGCTGAAGTTTAGATTTTCGAAATCGAGAGATTCGTGCAAAAACGCTCATTAGGCGCGTCAAACGCGCCAAACGCTCAATTCGCCCCACGCCATTCGCGAAGTTTTCGTAATTCGCGCCACGCCATTCGCGCGTATCGCACCGCAGGATGTCTATTCGCGCGTTTGCATTGACTTAACATGTAAATCACTCGCGCTTGACGCACGTTCCGCGTCTGGTGTGAACGCAGCATAAGAATGGGGCATTATGTGTAGACAGTATTTCCAACTGAAACTGAATATTAAGTAGGTGAGAGGCGGGGTTTTATTTTTGCACTCCTCCTCATTTTTCATTCACAACAAACTAAAGCAGCAGTCACACTAGAGTTTAAGCATGCAAAATTCTGCTGTATGGTGCTCAGAAAAGGGGCTGGTTAAACAAGATCATTTGACGTTAAAAAAGCCAGCGATTGGTCCATATTTTACATTTCTGTACAGAGAGGTCATATATTGTTCTTGCGCAATCACGTGATGGGGTTTTGCAGGTCACTTGAACTTCACAAAGAGCTTGCATTTCCAGTCTTGCACATTCACGTGTACATGAATGGAATGGGGCGAAAAGTGCAATGTGACCACAGCTTAACAGTTTGGAGAGGTGTGGCTAAGCATATTTTACAGAAGCCATCAAAATGATGTCATCAGAGAAGGACTGCCATTCCAGGGAGGAAGTAAATTGTTGGATTTCATAAAACTTGACTAAAGCAAACCGTTTTCCGTGGATTAAATTATAACTACAACGTAAGGTAGCAAAATAAAATTGTAAATTGTAATTTCTTAAACAGAAATATTTATATGTTTTTTTAAGGAGCTAAAATATGCGTATATGTAATATTTGAGAAAAATGCCTCTTCAAGACACAAATAAATAAGTCACAAAGTTTACTGATGGTGTGGAACGTACCTCCAGTGTTGAGTTCTTGTAGTTGTGGATTACAGCTTTGATTTCCACTTGTTCATTTCTGGACACCGAGTGAGGCAAACGCAGGTCGATAAAGAACGGCTTCCACACGCGGACGTTATACGGTTCAGCTACGCAGACACCTGCCAAAATTATACAGACAAACACATTACTGCTAATACTGTTAATAGCATTTTCAAATACTTTCTTTAGTTAATATTTAATTCTTAAATTTGGTGACTTAATGGGCAGATTCTACTAGAACAACAAAACAGACAAAAAATTGTTCCACATTATTCTTTCATTCATTTTCTTTTTGGCTTAATCCCTTTATTAATCTGGGGTCGACACAGCGGAATGATCCACCATCTTATCCAGCACGTTTTTACTCAGCGGATGCCTTTCCAGCCGCAACCCATCTCCGGGCAAGCATCACAATATTAGTAAGAAATATTTCAAATAATTTATATGCAAAAATCCTTAACATGTTTCCTTAAATCTAAATATGGTTAATGCATTTGTAATTCACATACAGAAATGCTTGAAGTAGCATTGGAAGTCATTTATTAACAATGTGTATTATTCTTATGTAAACATAGGTGATCATTGCGTTAAAAGACTAATAAAGAAATATAATAATAATAAAAAAGTAATAATAATAATGTGCAATACAAGCTAAATAATAAGTTCTGTTTATTTGACGGTGGTATTAAAAGCTAAATCAGGGTTTCTGCAGGATTCACAAAGTCAAAATTAAGACTTTTAAGACTTTTTAAGACCATTATGAATGCAATTTCAGACTTATACAGGACTTTTTTTAAAATATATTATGTTATACTTTATCTTTTTAGACATATATTTGAAATATATAGTCAAAACAAACAACCCCTAGTTGTATTACTGCACATTTTTTAACAAAACATGTCTTTGAAAAAAAATCTTTAAAAACTGTAATAAACTAAATGTATGCACAATAGTCGGTCCAGGTCAGTGTCCTCACCATACATGGACTATAAATACACGGAGACCTTTTAAACAAATATGATGATAAGGACGATAATTAAACCACATTGTAAATAGAGGTATAAATAGAGTTTGGTTAAAAGTTATATAGAGTTGGATTGTTGGTGATTGGATTCGTGTTGGGTAGTTTTACATGGACATAGCAAAATTAAGACCTGTTTACAATTATTTTGTTTATTTGTTTGTTTGACTTTATTATTCCCCAAAATGAAAATTCACATGTCACAGCAGAGCTCTACATACTAAAAATAGATAAATAATGTACATATATGTAAAAAATAAAATAAAATTACATTCATACTGCACAACTTAGTTCCAAAAACAACGAGTAAACACTTGTCCATATTTAATAACTAATTCAGTTCAGCACAATCCATCTAGTATGACTTTAGTTATACAATCTGATCACTGTTGGTAAAAAAGACTTCCAGTATTTTTCTCTGTAACACCGGAGATTAATTAATCTTTTACTAAAAGAGCTTGCACACTTTTGGACTGTATCAAAAAAGGGATGATTTTTCCAGCATTCGATCATGTGCAATCTCTTCTATAGTAGGTAGTGCACACCCCACAACAGAATATGTATTACCTAAAAGACACAATTTGAGTGAATTTAAGACTTTTTAAGGTCTAAAATTTAGTTTTTGAAATTTAAGACATTTTAAGACTTTATAAGACCCAGAGGATACCCTGTAAACAAAAATGGTTTAAATTATCCTGTTAAATATGACTATTATTATTATCATCATTATCAGATCAGGACTCATAATTAAGGACTCAGGATTAAACATAAAAATGATCAGTATTACTTGTTAAAAAAAACAATATGGGCACATTCGTTGCATAAAAGCAATTGCCATTTATCATTTTAGCTCCGCTGCTATTATGATGCTGCCATCTGTAGGTTTAAAGAAGCAGAAGATGTTACACTCAAAAAATGACTCTTGCTGCTTGTTCAAACTAATTATTTAATATAAGTTGAAACAACACAATTCTTAGTTTTTTATTTTTGTTTTCTTGTTTGTCGACACTACCCCAGAGTTTCCAAGCCCCAAAAATGGAGCATTTTGGAAACACTGAAGAGGCCATTTTTGTTATAAAACGCGGCTGCTCCATGTCAGCGTGGCTGGGGGAAAACGGAGACATCTGAAAATGAGGGTGGTGCTGCACACATTCTGATTATGGCTTTTTTTTCAATATTAAGTACACAAGGTTGGTCTTGCATCCTTTCCTTAGGACATGTCGGGTAAATTTTCAAAGGGAACAGTGTACTTTAAAGTCATCCATATTACCCTGTAGTTGTTTCACTATTTTAACAATAAAATTACTTTTTAAGATTCAGGGGACACCCTGTGAATAAAAATATTTTAAATGATCCTTTTAAATATTAGATTAAATAATCATACATTCAGATGCAATAACGATCAACGCATAGCTTAATAATAATTACAATTATTAATATTATTATTTTTTAATATCATCATTAATATGATCATCCCCATCCAATGTTGGACTCCGAAACATGATGTCAGGAACTGCCTGTTTTCATTTTGATATTAACAACTTAACAGACACCACAAATGTTAAGGCATCGTGTAGCTGCATATTTTTATGACCGTCCTCTTCACTGTGTGCATATTTATAACAAAACTGATCCTATAACAGAACTGCCTACTTTAATTTTCATTGTAAAATACAAAACATGCCCTGTCTGCTTTGCTGAATGTCAATCTTAACAATCAATAATGGCCATTATAAAAGCATAAGGTACAATAAGTTTAAACAATATAGGAAATAAAGCAATCAGTCAAATGTGCAGAATCAGTGTACACGGTTACATTAATTCATATATTAAATTATATTTGTGCTCAGCCAAAACAAGTAAAGAACAAGTAAGATTCAAAAGACCAAAGAGTCATTAGATGACATCCAGTGGTAGATCCTAGATGAACTGTTTGATGTGTGCTGCTCTCACCTGGGGAGGTGTGTTTAAAATACCTGCTGACTGCCTGGAGCTCAGACTTCCGCATATGATGCAGCGCATGCCAGAGTGCATTTGTGTGTGGTCAAGTAATGTGCGTTTTCAGCAGTGTAGTGTGGACATAGATCTTTCAGGAATGCTAGGTGAAACGCCAGTGTGAATCGTATTCGTTCTACAAGGCCATTTTAAAACTAAAACATATTAGTGTAAACGGGACCTTAACTATTTTTGTTTAATCTACTTAAATTTGTGTTGTGACAAGATGAAAGTTCTGTTCACCTTTCTCAGGTGAGGCACTGACAGCTAGAAACCCCCACTGTGTGATACTGTCTGGAAGAACGGTGTCCACTGGAAACACAGCCAACCTGGAGAAAAAACAAAACAATCAATACAACAACAGTGCGACATCTACATCAAGTCAAATGCTAAACTCTTACCCATCAGACTTGGCAGTGCTAGGCAGTCTGATATCGGTCCACAACCACGACTCAAAAAACTTGCTGCGCACATAAATATCCTCAAGATCAGACAAATCATCTTCCTCAAACACTGAAGCCGCCTCTTCTTCTTCTTCTACAACGACTTCCCGATAACTGTCCTGACGAACTCCGACGACATTAGCTTCGGCATGCAGCTTTGGCATGGATTGTAGTACTCTATCCCTCACAAAAAAAACTGGTTGTTCCGGAAAATGATATTCAAGATGTGGTACGAGAAAGAGGGTGGGTGGAGAAGTGGTTGGCGGAGCAATGGTTGGTGGAGCAGTGGTTGGTGGAGGTCTGGTAATGACGCCGAGCTCCTCTCCTCTGTATTCTGCACAGCAGCGCAGGAAAGCCAACACACAGCTCCAGTCCTCGGTGATGTAGAGAGAGCGACGGTAGCATGAATACGGCATGGGAATCTCCTTCATGCCATCCACACAACACCTCTGCAGGAGCTCATCTGAATAGGCCTTCTCTGAGTGAGAGAAACAAAGATAATTAGATGGTTAGGTTAACTTCTGAATATCTGTAATAATATATTCTGACTTTTCAACACAGATTCAACACTTAAATGTTCTAACAATGCATTTATTCAATACTGCTTTAAACCAACACTCCATTTCTTTTGAAAATAGGAACTCTAGCATTTAGTAAATCTCCGGGTCTGGTGGTAGAACTTTAAACTTAGCTTAGCATAGACTATTGAAATAGATTAGACCATTAGCATCTCGCAAAAAAAAAAGAACCAAATTTTTTAATAATTTTCTTATTTAATGCTTGACTCTTCTGTAGATACATTATACACTAAAACTGACAAAAAATGAAAAGGTGCTACAGTATTTTTTATGGCTAGCAACTATACTCTCATTCCAGCGTAATAGTCAAGGAACTTTGCTGCTGTAACCTGGCTGCAGCAGACGCAATGATAGTATGTATTGCCTGAAAATAGTCCCGCCAGTTAGAAACTGCTGCCTGCTGCAAAATCCATGTCATGATTGCTTAAAGAATATTTGATACACTGATAATTCCGACTTACCGAGCTGATCTCTGAGCTGCAGTTTGGCTGCAGAACGTCTTCGCCGTTTAGTTTTACTGGAGCAGTCTGTGAGAAACAAACCAATAAAAGTACATATAAAAGTCAGCTTTCCATGGACAACCCATATCTTGGGGTAATTTTAATTTTTGTTAGATTTAGGCTACGTTTATATGACACAGCTAAAAATGGAAACATTTTTCAATTAGTTTTTTTTTTTTATGTTCCATGTCTACACAAGTGTTTTAACGTTTACACTCTCAGATCTTGATGTCCAATTATGATTTGTAGCCAATATCTGATTTCATTTTATATATGATTTATTTCCACATATGAAAGAGGCCTGAAACCAATTTCTGAATATCCACATGCATGCGCTTTATTTCATGTTTACACAATCATAGAACAGATCGAATCTGTCTGAATTCTGTTTGATTTGTGTGTATCCAGTCACAAAAACACTGTTGCGTAAACAAACAGCCAAATCAAACAGGCTGAAAACATTGTCATGTAAATGACCCCTTAGATTTCATGAAATGAATATGAAATTACTTCATTAACTAACATTGCTTTTTCATCTAATAAACTCCAAAAAAAAATTGTTTTAACATTGGAACTTCTGTGTTACATTGGCTCTGACTTTAATAACCTTACTTAAAAATCTAAGCAATTGGACAAGGTGACTGTCAAAAGAATATTTTTCCAGCATTTTGTAATTCATTTTGACAACCTCCATTTTGTGCTATTAATTTTGCCCAATTATGAAATGTTTGACTAGCTTTATTTACACTTTTAAATGATTACATTGTAAATGCATTGTATTATTAAAAGAAATTAAGTAAAGACTTAATGTTAAAAAATATAAAAAATAATGATGAAAAATGAAGCAGCATAATTGTTCTCAATGTAAAAACATTACTTATTATCATCAACAACAGTTTAGATGGAATACTGTAAGACCATCTGATACTGAAGACTGCCATAATGATGCTAATGATTCAGGTTTTAAATATCACTGGAATAAATTATATTTTAAAATGTATTAAAATACTAATAATCCAGTATAATAATATCCAGCAATATTACATCTTTAGCTGTATTTTAATCAAATATATGCAGCATTGGTACTGCAAGTAAAAGCATTAGAAATACCTCAAACCTTTGCTCAACAAAGTGACCAAACATATTCTAGTAGAACTGTATTAAATGTTACTGCTTTGAATGAAAAATGAAAGGAAATCTGAATATCTCAGATGAGGATTGGGGAAATATTTGTAAAACTCATTGGAAAATACCAGCTCAGCCATGGAGAGAATTCTGTTGAGAAAATGTTGTAAGGTTTTTCATCAACCCATCAGATATAATACAAAGGCAAGGGCACTAGCTGCTGGAGAATGTGTAGGGGATAAGTACTGTAGCTAGTCACTATCATGTTTTTTTTGGCATTGTCAGTAATTAACCTCATGCTGGAAAGAGATTAAAATACATTTAGATGCTATTTTTGAAGTAGAAATTGCTTTCACTTGTGAATCTTTATATTTAGGTAATATAAATGGATTAATAAAGACAAGAAACTAGAAACAAGAAACAGCTAGTAAAAAACTAATTACAAAAAAAAAGGTTAAAATTAGAGACACCTAAGGTGATCTTTTTCATCAAGAACACAGACCGAATACTTTTTTCGAATTTGGAGTAAATGGAGTTTTTTTTTTTACCAACATACCCGGCTTTTTCTAGAATTGTAACTTTTAAATGGAATATTATGTGTCTAAATATATATCTTTTCTTCTATAAAGGCAATCTTCTAAAGGATTTGTAGCTCCCCATCTTTTGCTGGTTATAGTTGTTGTTGTTGTTGTTGTTGTTGTTGTTAAAGGAAAGAAAACGCAAAGCATATGCAAGATCTGTAAGTCTCTTTCTACATGAGAGATTATGTAAGTTATATATGTATTTTCTTTTGGAAACTCAAAATAAATAAATGTTAAATGTAAATGTAAAATGTTACTGCTGTGTCTATGAAAGACCTTCTTTGGAGTCAGTTGAACCTCCTGTGCTGGAGTGAAACATCAGTCCTGCATCACTGAAAACACCCATATTATCCTTGCCTCCTCCTGCGGTGCAGCCCATATCAGCCTGATCCACCACTTCCCACACCTGAATGAAAGAGTTTTATTTATTTATATTTTTTTACTTTTTTCATTGAGGAGAAAGTTCTGAAAAGAACAGTGCACAGGGTTCATACACATATTTACTACAAAAATTCCATGACTTTTCCAGGACTTTCAAGTCAATTTTCATAACCTGTGTCATGTAATGTGAACATATACATGGTAAATCATAAGAAACATTTCAATTTATTACAGCATAGCAATAAAATTTATTTTTATGTCTATGTAAAATAGATGATGCTTACACAGCACTAATAATGTGAGAGCATGTTTTAGTCAAGAAAAGGAAATAAGTAAAAACAACTAAGCTCCATTCCAATATACAGATATTGTCAAACTAATTTGAGTTAATCTTAATAGTTTGTTAAACTAGTAATAGTAGGTAAAACTTCTTGTATTATAAAGCTGGGATCATCACTGCACTTTTCGCTCTAAAGACTTCCATTCATAGGCATGCGAATACGGCAGACCAGAAACCAGGCAGGTGTTTCGCAGATCACTGCATACGAAAGTTCAAGCTTGGTGAATTCTTACCTGTGAAATCACGTCAGGTGATTGTGTGAGACCAATAGAAGATCATTTAAAATAAGAAATTATAACATATGGAGCAATCGCTCACTTTTCTTAATGTCTAATCATATTTTTTAACCCCGCCTTTTTTCACAGCACAGTACGACAGAATTTTGCAAGCACAAGCTCTAGTGTGACCGCAGCTTAAGTCGTTTTGGACAAAAATGTCTGCTAAATGATTAAATGTAATTGTAATTTCCATGACTTTTCCAAAACCTTGTGGGTTTTTCTGTTTTTCCAAAACTTCTCCAGACCTGGAAAATGCCATGTAAAAAATCCATGACTTTTCCAGTTTTTCCATGACCGTATGAACCCTGAATGCAAATGACAACCACTCACCTTTTTCTGCGTCAGGCGGTTTTTACTCAACAAGAAGATGGCATTATCCACAGCTACCAGGCTGACCTTTGCTCCAACATCACCTTTCACTTGAAATTTAAAGCTGCTGCCTGGTGAGTAAGAACTGACTATTTCTCCATCCACTGGTCCAACATTAAGCTAGTAAAAATCACAAAATTTTATTTTATATTATAAAATTTATATTATAGGCAATGCCAGACATCATTGTTTTGATATTTCTGTTCAGAATTTTATTTTTTAAAAATCAGAATGTTAATAATAACTGCTTATCAATACCACAAGAACTCACCGAACCTACACACCGGTCCTCCACATCAACAAACACGGAGTCTGCCACCACTTCAGCCCTATGCTGCCATGGCAAAACGTAGTACGCCACAAACCGAAATGCAGGTAGCATTTCTGTGGTAATCAGCAGATGAACGCTTGTTACATCCTGGCCTTTGACATTCACTCTACCAGCCTGAATTATTTTCCCCTTATTTAACACCTGGAAAAGAATTATTAGTATGAATAACACTGACAATACAGTCCGCTTTAATACTGAAATGTCTCCAGGGTCACTCACAATGTATGTGAGATGCTCCACGAGGGCTCTGTGGTTTGGTAAAGAGGATTTGATGTACATTTGGACACTGACACTGCCACCGACCACCACTCGACTTGCTCCCACTGAGACGTGCAAGAAGTTATCGTGACCGCTAAAAGTAGAATATGGCTTGACGTATACCTCTTGAATGGCCTGCTGTTCTGGTTTCAGTGACGGATCCACTGTCTCCACCTATATGATGTTAAATATACAGTATTCAGCAGACAGTTAAAACACTCCTATTTTGGCTCATTTTCATTGAGTGGTTCAGTTGAGTATATTAAAGACCATTTTGAGGGATGTAAACAAAAATCAATTTCTTCTACTTAATAACTGTCTGAATGAATTGGACATTTTAAAACAGCACTGTTTTTGTCTAGCAGCTTCAAAAATGAAGAAATAAACAGTACAAGGACCAGTTATTCCTACGTTGCGTCCTTCTGGAGTGTTTAAAACAAATTCTATTAATTTAGCAAATAGATTGAAAATTCAATAAAAGATTATAGTATTTTTTATTATATAAATTCTAAAAGCAAAACTCTGCAATAAAATGACAATGAACAATAACTAGCCAAAAATGAAAATGCATTTTTAGTAATAAAATGTATACAATTTATAACTCATTAAAAACTCAAAAAAAAATTAACATTAATGCAAAAGATTGATCCATAAATAATAAAAAATATAAAACAATACGAAAAAGGTAATCAACACTGGGTTAATGTTAAAACACAAACACAAACTCTGTTTCCTTCAGTCACCTTCCCTGTTCTTTACTTTATTTGAGATGCAGGGTCCAGAGCTTATATTAAACTCTCGTTAATTCAGTTAGGACATAACTCTTATAAACTTGTCTCAGGAAAAATATTACCAGTGTGCAAAATATGTCAGTGAAAGACACTTCAGTATTGCATTTCAGTAAAATACATTTTAGACTTAGTTTAAAAAACCATCTGTAAAACCAGGAAAAAAAAATATATATATATAAATATATATATATATATATATATATATTCTTCTATAAAGGCAATCTTCTAAAGGATTTGTAGCTCCCCATCTTTTACTGGTCATAGTTGTTGTTGTTGTTGTTGTTAAAGGGACGAAAACGCAAAGCATATGCAAGATCTGTAAGTCTATTTCTGTTTGAGAGATACTGTAAGTTATATATGTATTTTATTTTCTATATAATTCAAGTAGTCAACGTTTATTATTCTGTAATTGCCTATTTTCAATAAGTGTGCTAGATTATATCTGTTTTCACATGATCATTAGCAATTAAAAGCAAAGCTAAAAACCATTTTGTGCTTGTCTCTTCTCGCCGTTATTTTCCCCTTCTCTTTTTCTGAGCCTGAAGAGTATTGTTAGATTTGTTTCATCATTCACTTGTCTAATTTCCAGTATAGATCAAGTATATGGGACAGGCAATGGACCAAAGGCAATAGCTGTGTCTGTGCACGGATTTGCGTTCTTGTAGTGACCTGTCGGTCTCGCAGGTTACCTTTAAAGAACAAACTCGAACCACAAGAACACAGATCCCATATGAGAAACGAGATCCTGTGAGCTTCCTGTTGATCAACTGACCTACCACAAAAACATTTTCAACTTTATCAAAATTAGGTATTTTTTTCTTTTCAGTAAAACTTTATAAATATTTAAGTACTAAAGCACTGTCTATGAGGATAATTTGTAAAATGCTAATAAAAATGATTTTAGCAAGGAAACAGCCAGGACCACTAGCGGCAGCAGGTCCCTAAGCAGCCGATTAGTTCGCTTATGCAGGGATGTCCAAACCCGGTCCTGGAGGGCCGGTGTCCTGCATAGCTTTGCTCCAAGTTGCTACACACCTGCCTGGAAGTTTCTAGTATACCTAGAAAGAGCTTGATTAGCTGGTTAAGGTGTGTTTAATTGAGGTTGTAACTTATGTAGGACACTCTGGTCAATATTACAATTTCATTAGGTATAGGTACAAAGTAAAGTAACTTTCAGCACAAATGGGACTTGCTGTTTTTGTGTGTGTTTATGTGAATGACTTACTTTCAATATCTGGGAATTGCCATATAGTATGTGCGTTTTCGGCATGTTGATGTGAATGTTGATGGTGCCACTGTGGACACTGATTGGACTTTCAAGAAAGGTGACTTTAACAGGAATATTAGGAGTTGGAGATCCATCATGGTTACTCACGATAACCTAAAAAAACAAAACAAATAGTTGCTAATTGGAAAATGCTAACATCATGATGTAATATCAACTAATTTAAAATAGTGGAATAAACATATTTTGATGACTTTTATTTTTATTTATTAAATATGATATTGATTGAAAGTGGTGATAAAATTGTTGATTTATTATATTCAAAAGGTATGTTTTAAAACTGTAAGCACTGCAATGAATATTAGATTACCGTCATGGCTAACGGCAGACCAGGTTTATAATACTTTGGTGTGTCCTTAATGGTAAGCATGTAGGGTGATTTTACGATTTTAATGCCGGATTTCTCTGCTTCCACAAGATCGCTACCTGTGAAGAGGATAAAAGTGGTTGTGAGTGGTTGCCAAGCTTTAGCTATACTGTTACAAGTCAAGTGATACCTTGTTAATGTTCCATGGGTTAGGAGATTTTTAGAGCATTGCTTGTGTGTTGTTAAGCTAGGGTGTAGGACTTACTTACCTGAACTAGTCAATACTGATGCTTTGACGTACAACGTAGACCCCAGAAGACTGTTTATGTCAGGATAAGCTCTCTTTATCTCCTCCATAGTCAAACTAACACTTCCTCCATTTAGCTGTAAAAGACACAGAGTCGCAATAGTAAATTTCTACAAAGATAATTAAACGGTTAACATGTTTAAACTAAACACTTACATCATCAATTTGCTTCATAGATGTGAGTCTCTTCTTTTCACCATTAATTTCAATACCAAACAGCACATACGCAACACCCTTCACTTGCGCGCCATAAAGATACCTGGATGAAATATATACAGTGACCACATGTACGGAATCAACACAATACAAGGATTCCCCAAACTTTACAATAGTATCATATAGGGCTGGGCGATAATTCGATATCGATAATTATCATGATATATAATTTTTTAATAAAACTATAACAACAGTTCGTTAATTGCTCGATAATATTTACAAAGTATGCATAACGCTGCACAGGCATTTTGCAACCTGCCCTTCCGGATGCCACACGCAGTATACAAGTTTACAGCCATACAGTGTTAGTTGCACTTAAAGGAGTAAGAAAAAAATAAAGTAAAAAAAGTCAGTCACAGACATTGTTGACAAGAAACGTCACTAGACTTCAGTAGTCTTGAGCTACTTAATTTTTTGCAATCCGACACAAAACAGAGCAACAAGCACTGCAAACTCTGCAGACGACTCGTGTCATCACAAGCAGGCAACATCACAAACCTGTTTCATCGTTTAAAACAAGACCACCCTTATGAAGATGCTAATAAGATTACAGACTCAAGTGTTGGTAAACCAGCACAACTACCCAGCAGAGTTTCATATCATCATTTTCGAAAGCCATGCCTAATGAGGAAAAAAAACTTGAAAAGCAGACGAAAGATATGACAAACAATACAATCTCAATGAATACTTGATGCTTGCTGTAAACTACAGGCTGCATTATTTAAGGGCATTTGTCACTAAATTGATAGGATCTTTTGTCAAGCTTATTTTTCCTTTTTATTGTTAAGATATTTTCTTTGAAATCTGTAATACCACTATTGTCCCTCATCGACCGTAAAACAACCAGCATTTAGATATTTAAAGGACATAATTACTGAGGAAAAATCAGATGCCAGCCTTTTCGGCTCTATTTTGACGGTCCATGCGCAGAGCGCAAAACGCAGGGCGCAAACGCTTTCAGTGAGTGTCTGAACGCATTTTTGCTAACTTAAGGATGGGAAAATCCACTTTGCGCCATGGCACATGGTCTAAAAGGGTTGAGTTTATTTTCTTAATGAGTTATAGGTGTGTTTTGAGAATAAACCAATCAGAGTCTCATCTCCCATTACCTTTAAGAGTCATCTGCGCCGTGCCATAAGCGCATTGCTATTAACATGACGTAAAGTAAGTTCACTTTTGCTTTTGCTCTCATGGATAGGGAAACCTTACCGCACAGACATCAATTAGCCTATAAATAATTAATTTTGTTTGTTAAGCGCAAAGATTTGTTTCAACACTATTTCTAAATTCAGTTCTAATTTCCAGCAAACGAATAAATGATTAATAATAACAAAGTGTGGTCAAAATACTGAGTTATTTCCAAATAGACCTGCTATGCCCCATATGGTCTAAAACCTGCAGGTGGGCAAATCTAAGCTTGTTTTTAATAAAACTAAAATAAATATGGATATAATAAATAATACTGCTAATAATAATAACATTATACAAAAGCAAATTGAATGAACTGAAAAAGCCTCCCGAGATGAAGAAAGTATGAAGGCAGTGGTTTTTAAATTCATGTAGGCTAGAAATTAATATGTCTTGTAATATTTTTATCATTTATATATTTTTATCATTTATATTTATATCATATATATATGATATATATATATATATATATATATATATATATATATATATATATATATATATATATATATATATATATATATATATATATATATATATATATATATATATATATATATCTTTAAGATATTATATCTTTTTCATATGTAAATATATTTGCGTATTGCTCTACATCATGTGTGTAGTGTGTAAGCCAGGCGCACTTTGCGCCAGACAATAGACCGACTTTGTTCTGGTCTAAAGAACAGACTATTGAGTTTCTCAAAAAAGCAATGTGCCAAAACACGCCTGCTTTTTTAGACTCGAACGCCTATGGGTGCACATTTGAGCGCAAATACATTTGCTATTTAAACAGTGTGGCGCAACACCTCAAAATGACCCTTGCGCCAAGTTTAAAGTAGCAAAAGACTATAGCGCCGCGCCTTGCGCCAAATTGCACCAGGTGTATGATAGGGCCCCAAATCTTTAATGACATTAAAAATACAGAAAATAGGCCTATATGACAGACGTTTACAACAACAGTGAATCATTAATTATTTTACACAGAGCGAAGCATATATCATCCACCCACAGTTGTTTAAGTCGAGCACAAACTAAAAAAAAAATACATCTATAAATATATATTTCTTTGAAAATGTATATTTTTGCAACAAAATTCGTTTTTTGTATAATGTGTAACTTAATTTTGATGTATATTTTGTTGGTTAGTTATCTACAGCATAAACAAGAAGAAGAAAATAACATCTGAGGTGAATTGCTTTAAAACAAGCCTGCTATATGATATGCTTTAGAGCCAAAACAGTCACTAATAACAGACGATGCACATATCTGCATTGCGAGCCCTGAATGCATGCCAAATACACATGAAGTTATCAAACATTACACTTGATTTTTTGTTTTATATCCTTTATATGACAGAGAAAAGTGCAGGGTAAAAAACTCAGTCATAAAGAAATTCTCGTTTCAATTAGTGGACACAATAAACACAAAACACTCCTTAAAAGAAAATTCAACTCTTCTTTCACAGCCTGAAACAAATGCGAGATTTGGGAGGAAAATAAGACTTTGAGTAGAGGGAGATCATTCTTCATTATCATCACGGGCTCCTTCATGTAAACTAATCTCGCTGTCATTTCTTTTCTGCTGTAAATATTTAGTTAGAACGTAGCTTTACATTTGAACTAAATTCCGTGACACAAAAATATTTAGTAGAGTGTAAGTTGAAACTTAGTGTCCCCTTAAGTCACAACTAGGCTACATTTTTACTTGCAGACTGCTGGTACAACCGGCCACTGGTGAGTAAATATTTCAAATAAAGCATCATTGGTTTTAAAATAATTCACAGCAATTTGATTTTTGACACACCTAGCTGTTATTTCAACTTCCAACTTCTCTGCATCCAGACTAAGGTGGGATGTTTTAGGAGTAAGTGTGACGTTGAATGCTGGAAGCACTGAAAAAAAAGAAGAAATGGTGTTAACACAGAAACGGAGAAAGAAATATGTAGAAGAAACAAATCAGGAGGTAATATGAAGGGCTTACCATATTTCTTCACTTCAAACTCTCTGCTGAAAACATTCTCTTTTCCCTGATCAAACTTTGCTACAACTTTCCATCTGCCCTCTCTAGGAAATCCAAAATATACTTTTGGTAAAGTCACACAAAAAAACTTCACACACACATGCTCACACAAGTAAAGCAGGGAAAATAAGTATTGAACACGTCACCATTTTTCTCAGAAAACATATTTCTAAAGGTGCCACTGATTTGAAATTTTCCCTATATGTTGGTAACAACCAAAGAAATCCATATATGCAAGGAAAACAAATCTAATTATTTTACAAATTAAGTTATCTGTAATAAAATGAAATGACAAAGGGAAAAAGTATTGAACATATGAAGAAAGGAAGGTGTAGAAAGGCAGTAAAAGCCAAGACAGCAGCTGAAATCTCTCAGTAGTTATTCAGCAACCCTCTGCCCTTCCTCATTGTAATGTACTATTTGCTGCTTCAGACCAACATCTACATTAGCAGGATGATGAAGATGAAACCATTTCAGCAAGACAATGATGCAAAACACAGCCAAATGCTTTCAGAGAAAGAAAATCAAGCTGTAGAATGGCCCAGTCAATCTCCTGACTTAAATCCAATTTAAAATACAAAATAAAGATCTGAATTGATAGACGAGACCCACAGAATCATCAAGATTTTTACCCTCTGTTGAAGTCTGGAAAAAAAATAAATAAATAAAATTACACCTGAGCAATTTATGTGAATTCATTCTCTATATGAGAGGCGTCTTTAAGCTGCCATCACCAAAAAAGCCTTTTATATAAAGTATCAAATACGTTTTAGTAGTTCAGTGTCATTTCATATTTATTGCAAAACTAAATTACTCAGATTATTTTTATTTATTTTTTATGTTTAAATTGTTTGTTTGTATATGTTTTTAGCAAAATATGGTTCAATTCCATGTCAACAGCTTCTTTATAAATATTATTCCCATAAAAAAAAACATGGCGTGTTCAGTACTTATTTTCCCCTCTGTATGTACATACAGATTTGGTAAAAAAAGTTTTTGTTTTTGTTTGTAAGGTATCTGTTTAAGTAAAATGTTTACATGTTTTATTCTATAAAGTTCAGATAATATTTCTTCAACTAATTAAAGATTTAGTTATGTAATGCTTTTTTAGAGAAATGGTCAGGTTTATTCCACTAAATGATGATTTTTACAAAATTTTTGCAGTTGAAAGACAAACATTTATATAAATGTATGAAAACAAATGACCCTTTTTGTTATTTCATGCAAAATCAAAATGCTCTAATGTTTTTTTTTTTGCTTTTTTTTTTGCTTTGCTTTGCTTTTATATAATATTGTTTAAGGCTTTGGTGTGAGTAGACACATATCCACCGAAGCATGTTTTGAATACGGCAGTGTTTTTTAAAAAATGTGTTAAGAAAAATATGGCACTTCTGATATATTTATATACACAACCTGACAAAAGTCTTGTCATCGATCCCAGTTGTAAGAGCAACAAATAATGACTTGATTTCTAGTTGATCATTTAGAAAAGCAGCAGAAGGTAGATTTTTCAGCTGAATCAACTGTTAAATTGCATCCCAATGATCACAAATACTACTGAACATCAAATTAAAACCTGCATGGACCAAAGATTCTGACCAAAATCAGTCAAGTTTGGTGAAGAAAAAATCATGGTTTGGAGTTACATCCAATGAGGGGTTTACAAGAAATCTGCAGAATGGATGGCAACATCAACAGCCCGAGGTATCAAGACATTTGTGCTGCCCATTACATTACAAACAACAGGAGAGGACAAATTCTTAAACAGGATTGTGCTCCTACTCATACATCAGTTTCCACATCAGTTCCTGAAAGCAAAAAATGCTTCAGGGTTGGCCAGCCCAGTCACCAGACATGAACATTATTACATTATTATAATCTAGAGCCACTTCTGATTTCATATGATCAACTAGAATTCAAGTTTTTAATTATTGTTTCTAAAACTTAGATGGGGGACATGATTTTTGTCAGGTAGTATATTTGGCTAGGGCAATAAAAAAACAACAGTGGACAAGCACCCTAAACTACATCTGAATATCCTTTAAACAATCTCAACACTCTATTTATCTTTTGGTGCATTATACTCTGTTTTATATTCTACACAACACAACTGAACTATTCTGAGTGCATACTTGACTACAGTAGACAGTGAGAAAATGTCAGAAAAGACCCCATCGATTGCTTTAACTCTCCCAATACCATGCACCGCAATTCCATCTGGATTCTGAAACACGAGCAAATTGTGCTGTAAGCATTAATATTCCAGAAAACAAACAAACAAACAATTGTTTAGCAAACATGGTAATGTTTAGGTTAATGTGACAAATTAGGTTAGGTTAATGTGACAAATCACCTGAATCTCCAGAGATATGGTTCTCTCAGAAGAACGAAATTCCAAATCAGACACAAAAGCCCTGAAACGTACTGGGAAAAGGGGGAATAATTGTAAATGTAAATGAGTACTGTGAAAACAGCTCAATAGCAGCATGTGAGAGCTGACCTTTGTCTCCAGGGTTGTAAATAGGTTTGTCGGTCTGAATGAAGATGTGTCCGGAGCGGAACGACACCGCCATTACTTTTTCTGCACGATAGATGTTGCTGAACTGAGCAACGAGCTTCACATACTTCTTTTTTCCATCTGGAAGTAGCAAATTTGGGTTGATCTGATAGAAGAACGTAATTGATTATATTTACATGCAACAAGTGACGTGATCATACATTAGAGAACTTCAGCATAGGGCCTTATTTACGAATGGCTAGTATGAGCACTAAAATAATTTCAGTAGTTACGAAACTCACCAAGTAGGAAAATTGTATTGAATAAGCAATTAAGTAGCTTATTTTATACGATAAATTATAGGGTATATGCAGAAGTATGCAAAATGGCTTTTAATTCTTTAGTAACCTGGGTCAAATGCTTCCAGTGAACTGTATGCTGTTAAAAAAATTGACGCGTTTAAGGTCTGTTTTCTCTAAAAATCAACCATTGTTACCGCTGGATTGACATATGATATAAAGTGGGTCTCCAAATGTACAAGCAGCACTGCAATAAACTACATTTTTTTCGCAACATGTTTTTAAAATATGGAAATGTTTTTTACTCCAGTTTTTTCAATGGAGTTTTTAGGCTCGCCTGCTGATCCTGACACTTCAAATCTGCTATGAAAAGTCTGTGGGATGGAATTTTCAGGTAACTGTTTGCCACATCTAGCACGAGAGCCTCTGTTTAATCCTTCATATAATCGCCAGATGCTGTCCGCCGTGCAAGTGGCAGCTATATGTCAAATTTAACACCATGTACATCATCGCAAACGGGCTTACACTGAGTAAACTAATATCGCTACTCATGAAAAGACCGGTATTGCTATTAACATGACTTATGCATATAATAAGGTGCAGTATATGTCAAAAGCATCAGTGCAATATCAGACAGCACAGTTATATCGTTAACAGATTCATCCATGTCAAGCAGTGCGTGCAGGGCCGGTGAGCGGTCCGTGTATCTTTTGGTCACTCAGTTATGTTATAAAAATCTATTTTCTTGTGATAATGTCGCTAGTTAACACACTCAATGCATTTTTTTTTTCAACACATCCCATAATGTCTAAAATACCAGCCTCTACTAAATGGTAGATATGTCAGTTTATGGTAAAAGTACCAGGCTTAATACATATACTATGAGAAATTAGAAAATATGAAGTGTAAGACCAATTTAGATAAAAATATTCAAAATAAAACATTTTGGAATACCGAATCACCTTTTTAAAGTTTTTTAAGTGTGCCATAAAATATTTCATCATAAAGGATTCTCATTTAACACGTTTTCTTGTTTTTTTTGTTTTTGTTTTTTACAATAAAACCAAAATCAAGTGCAGTAGTGTGTGACAGGATTATGTTTGATTTTTTTCGTAAACCAACATTGCTGTGTGTGCAAACCATTACTTTGCTCTTTAAATTACTTTAACAGTCTATTATTTAAAACAGTAAAAACATGGTCAACCGTTTTGTAGAGGGGCAGTCGAAGGGTTAAAGGGATAGGATACCCAAAACTTACTTACTTTCTTCCATTACACACAAAAGCAAATCATTTGAAATAAACTTTACAAGCCGGTAACATTTGACTTTTATAGTCTTTGCTTTTCCTACTGTGGAAGCCAATGATTAAAAGTATCTAACATTCTTCAAAATATCTTATTTTGAGTTCAACAGAAAAAGAACCTTAACAAATTTGGAACTACTTGAAGGTGAGTAAATTGTGGGTAATTTTTGTTTTTGGGTGAACTATCTCTTTTGATGCAGAGAAGGGTTTCATGCATTCATACATAAATTCACCTCTAGGGTTTGCAGGACGCTGTAGTTGTTGTCTGAATTGAGGAAAACTGAGCCCCGTGACAAGGCAGTTTGGGAGTTTGGATAGTCGTAAACCACAACAGTGACTTCTACCACCTGTGCCAGGTTGTGTCCCTCCACCAGGATGTTCTGTTTTGTTCCAGGCCTTATTTTTGCTGGAGCTAGAAGAGAAAACCTCAAGAAAAACAAAAGATGCATTTGCACCGAGTAGTTGCAGGAGCTCAAATCATAGGAACTACAGTATTCAACAATTGAAAGGGATCAAAAAAGTTAATCAAAGTTGTCCTGAGGCAAGAACACATTTGGATTTTTGGAAAGGTTTTGGTCCAATTCCAAATGTTCACTAGTGTAGATAACAAAGGCCTGTTTCCCTGAGAACAAATAGCCCCACATACTGTTTTCCTGGTTGCATTTACAACATCATAAAAAGAGGATTAAATTAATTACGAAACTTGTTTAGCTGCTTATCATGGAGACTGAGAATAAAAAACAGCACAATATTAAATAATATAAATATAAAATATAAATATAAAATATAAAAAATTAAAATATAAAATAATGCGACCAATTGCCTTCTGTATGTTTATGCTGCATAACAATTTGAAAAAAGCATGAGATGGAAATTTCTATTTAAATAATTTTGCTTTTGTGCAAGTTTTAACTTTTATATTAATTTTAGCAAAAATAAATCTATCCTTCAACATTAGAAAAATAAATATCTATTAATTATTGACAATTGGTTGAATTTGGGTTTTAGATTATATGGTCATGCATGGTCACCTTTTATAACTATGTTAGGATTGGAAGAATAGTTAATTTATATTATTGATACAGTAACACTTTACAATAAGGTTCATTAGTTAATCTATTTACTAACATGAACTAATCATGAACAAAACATGTACAGCATTTATTAATCATAATTGAACATTTACTAATGCATTATTAATATTCAAGTCCATGCTTGTTAACATTAGTTAATGCACCATGAGTTAGAAGAGCGGGAGGGCATGAGATCACAGTGGCAGGACAGATTGCCCGTCAGGCCACCTGGAAATGTCCAAGTGCTCCCTATGGCCAGTCCGCCCCTGCCGACATAAACTAATGAGCTATTAATGTATAATTATATCATGACTTTACTTGAAGGGGCACGTCACCATTAACTCATCCCTAACTACTTATGAACTCCTGTATTTAAACTGTTGATGTTGACAACACTTTTCGGTAACACTTTAGGTCACAATTCACAATATTAACAAACCATTAACTAACACTACGAGATTAATAAACAACTAACTGGCTGTTTACTAATAGTTAGTAAGGTAGAAGTTGGGTTTAGGTTTTGGGTGGTTTTAGGGATTAGTCGCGCCCCCAGAAAATTTTCTTAGGGGTGGCCAAGTAAGGCCACACCAAATCTTGAGGTGGCACACAAAACAATAATGAATTGTGTATATATTGTGAACAATGAGTAATGTTATGTTTTTGTTTCTGGTAAAGGAAATAATGACGTTTTAAATAATTCCATTAATTACTCTTACATTAATTACTCATTAATATTGTAATTTATTTCCTTAAATAATACAGCAGGTACACGTGCAAACCAAATAAAAACCAATATTTAGCTTAAAAACTACTTTCAGGTAAGTTATTTTTCACATACTTTTATTGTACAACATACAGTGTATGCCATGTCTAAAATTAATGAAGATTAATGAATGAAATAATAAAACAAACAAACGAACAAAAGACATTACTACATACACACACACTTACTATACAGACTCCAATAATATCATTTATCCATGTTCCTTTTTGAGCCACAATATTATTAATAAATATGCTTCTATTGATGTACCTTTTTGCAAAATACATCCACAAAATCATTGAGATTTTTGGCTCTAAAGTAAACCAGCAAAATAATGGAGTTTCTAAATAAACTAGATTCTGAAAAGCCGATTTCAAAATGCATATATTAATTTATTTGGATTTGTGGTTTTCAATCAGATAAAACACAACTTTTTCATTTAAAAAATAATAATTTCTTAATAAAAAGTGTGCAATCTCAGTGAATCAGCTACGTCGGTGGCGTTGATCAATATTATAGTGGCTGCAGTTTAATTATAAATTAATTTATTTATTTATGGAAATACTGTGAATTTAAGCAAGTACATTTAAATGAATAATATCAACAACTAAATCATATTGGGGTGGCCACAGGGGCTTTATAACTACTATTAAACAGCTAATATCTTAATTATAGGCACATAGTAAGCCAGCAGTTAATAACATGAATTGTGACCAAAACAAGTTTATGAGGGTTTTAAATTAAGCATTATCATGTAGTATAAATTACCACATTAACTTTTGCTAAATTTAACCATTATAAACTTTTGACAAGTTAATGTATAATGATATTGTGACTTTATCGTTATTAACACATGAACTCGTGCGACTCAGGTTGTAAAGATTAGTGCGCACCTTAACTTATCCTTAGTTCATAATAAAGTAATGTTCAGTTTACTTACTCATACTTCATTATTCATGTACTGTAATTGCAAAGTGTTACCAAAATTCAATAAAATGTATTGTTATTAATTTATCAAAGTTACAAATGGTACAATTACAATTTCATAGGTCATGTTTTTAAAAACTTCACACAGTCACAGGCTTCAAAAAACTGTTGCAAAATGATAAAGTCTAAACCACACTCAACACTGCATACATGCGAATGATCACATTGCCATATTGATGCTGAAAATATACATAGTGCTGCCCTAATGTGAACTGCAAAATCGGTATTATGTAGTTTATGTATTATGTGTTTGTATGGTACTGTAGGATATTTTATGTTGTTTCAATGTAAAGGATCTGCAATCGATAACAAACTGTCAACTTTGCCTAACCTAAAAAGAAATAAAAATGTTATAATATTTAAGATGCATCTAGTTTTATTGAAATATATCCCACAAGGCACACTAATTTGTTAAGCAAATAAATTACAACTCTGTGAAATTACCCATGATTATCTGTGCATGTGTGTGTTTACTGGGGGCAGAGGACAGTTACTCACGACGGAGAAGGGTCTTTGACCGGCTCACTGTAAACAGAAAAACACACTCCAGTTGAACTCCAGTTCAACCAGTTTTTACATTATAGAATTTGATATGCAGATATAGTTGAAGTCAGAATTATTAGCCACCCTGTTTAATTTTTCCCCAATTTCTGTTTAACGGACATTTCTTAACATAATAGTTTTAATATCTCATTTCTAATAACTGATTTATTTTATCTTTGCCATAATGACAGTAAACAATAGTTGACTAGATATTTTTCAAGACTCACATACAGCTTAAAGTGACTTTAAACGCTTAACTAGGTTTATTAGGTTAACTAGTTAGGGTAATTAGGCAAGTTATTGTATAACGACTGTTTGTTCTGTATCGAGAAAAAATATATATAGCTTAGGGCTAATAATATTAACCTTAAAATGTTTTTCCTTTATTAATAACTGCTTTTATTCTAGTTGAAATAAAATAAATAAGACTTTCTCCAGAAGAAAAAATATTATCAGACATACTGTGAACATTTCCTTGCCCTGTTAAACATAATTTGGAAAAATTTTTAAAAAAAGAAAAAAAAATCAGAGGGCTAATAATTCGAACTTCAACAGTATATATATATAACTTATATATAAATATTTTTCCACACAATTCTCTTATAAATACTAAAGAAATAACAGTCCGAAATGACTTTATTAGTTTAAGCACATTTTACAACAAACAACATTGTTAAACATATTGATGCTTAATTTGTGGTTAATATTGTTTTAATATGATCGTTCATTTTCGGGACACAAAACGAAACAGGGTAGGCTACTTACATTTGTCGCATATGTCTCCAAACCGTCCTCTTGCTGCTCATTTGACAAGATAAACACATTATAAAAATCAACGTCGACAAGATAAGAATATATTTTTACACATTAAAAGTTAATAATGCAGAGTTAAACGCACTGTCGTTGAGGGAAGGCCTTTCCATCGCAGATTTGACAGAGCAGGGTCGCCCATAACAGCAGCTGAAGAAGCATCGTCCTGCTGAAGTAACCGCCACTCAATATGTCAGAAATAACTAGAAAACAAACAGCTAAAATATCGACATATCCCCAAATCCCTCCACCCACTAAACTGGGAGCTTAGTGAATCTCGAAACTTTGTAAAGCAATTGTGCAATGTTTGCAGTGTTTTCTGGGCAAAATCAGTTGTCTTGACAACACACAGACCCCCAGCATTAGAAACGTTTAAGGTGTTGTAAACAAAATGGTAGGCTATAAAAAAGCTATTTTTATTTATTATTTGGACATTTTAACTGTGTGCGTTGCATTCTCTGCATTGCCATTTGTTGTCATTGGTACATTAAAGTTTATGCAGCACTTTGTATTGCAGTGTTTACTCAACCTGTCAGCCTACTACTTAAAAGGATCATTATTTAAAGTTATGTCCTGAGCAGGTTAAAGGGACAATATGTAAAATGTTTTTATTTATTTATTTTTTATTTATTAGAATATTTTGCTGATTTACCCATTTTAATTATTTTAGAAAATGTTCAAATCCATAAAAATACTCATTTTAACTAGTGACATGGTCCATGTCAATGACATCATGACCCTATATATCCAGTTAAATTTGATATAAAACAGAAAAACAACAATGACATTTTAATATGTTGTATAATTTATTGGACTGCACAGAGCCTAAATGTATTTAGTATGATGAAACAGTACTGCTCATATAGGAAGAGCAGGAAATGGTGAACGGTGGCATAATAAAAGCTCTGCTGCTTTAGTGCCTTAGCTGCATTTAGAGTCATTAGCTATGTTTTCATCCAAAAATGTGAATAACTTAATGCCCAAAACTGATATATCGAGAGAAAAAAAAAAAAAAACGTGCAAATGAAGCAGTGTTTCCATCCAATGAGTCAAAAAGAACAAAATCATCACTTCCTGATTAACTGACACCAAATATCAACAATAAATACAGAATTTGCTGTTGTAGAAGAAGCTGCGTCAATGTTTTGCTTCTTTAATAAATGACTTGCAACTCAGAAGATGATGCCGACATGCAATGAATACGTGATGGCGTTTGAAGACTTGACACGCTTAGCACAGACACTCTTGACAGTTCTGGAGGTTATTAATAATATAACAACACTAATATTGAAAGGGTTAAGGCATTTTAGAATGACCAAATCAACACATTAGATGTTTTACAGTGTGCTCAGCCTGTTGGTTTGTCCATTCACACATTATAATCATCACAGGATCTCTAACAAAATCACCTGACCTTGTTTAATGCATATATTGGAATTTGTTCAGAAAACGTGGTTCGATCGTAGCTTATGAGCATCTTTTCTTATGAAATAAAACATTTATCCTACTCAGTTATGTGCTTACATTTTCAAAAATTTATGAGCATCTTGTTGTTTCCATCAACCGATGGAAACGTAGCGACTGCAACCAGAGACTTTGCTTGTCTGCTCCATACTAAGATAATAGCATTTTATACTTTAGCTCATCTTTGAACATGAGTCCTGTAGGATGTACGAAGATGACAACTCCATGGTGCAATACTCAGTCACTGCATCATCAAACTATCCCTTTGTTTGTTGTGAAGTCGTGCCTAACATAACATACTAATCTTTTGAAGAGATAGTACCTAATTGATACCAAGTTAAAGTGATGACTATAACTTTTAAATTATTTGCATAATATTTTTTGGAATAAGCCATAAAGTAAAACTGTTTGGAAATTGGTTTCAAGTGCACAATTTTGAAAACTATACGTTAATTTGTTCAGTCTACAGATTAGAGCTTTCAATCTGTGCAAACATGATCGAAAGTCAGACTTCAGTATTGTTAAGCATTTAAAGCTGAAACAGAAAATTGAAGAAATTTTATTAGTTTACTTTCAATTGTTTTTACTAATCCATGTGAACAGGCACAATTAGTTGAAACTTCCTGAGCATGTTAAATTTAATATTTTACTAACAACTCTCTAAAACAGATCCACAATTAAGATGGTCTATTTACCACAAATTTAATTCACAATACTTCTTGATAGTCGAACAGTTTGAATGTGTCCGAAACAACATACTTCCATACTATATAGTACACTAAAAAGAGGATGGGAGCTGAGTGAGAGGGGTCTGGATGCAGACCTGGTGCAGTGCAATCTGAGATGCATCAAATGCTTTTGAATGCGCTCACCTAGCCCCGTCCCAAACCCTACTCGTCACAGTGACGTCACTAGCTCCATTGAGTGCATTGTGTCTGACATTGCTTTGCTGAGTGATGCAATCTCAGCTTGCATCATAAAGGCTGCATCAAGATACTATTGAGCTGAGTAGCATGTCCGAATTCATAGAATTCGAAAATCAGTATGTGAGAAGTACCCGGATGACCAACTACTTCGCGGAAGATTCTGAAGTGTGCATCCTCTACATGCTGCACAATCCTATGATGCCCTGCGAGAGAATTCATGAATGGGAGTGAAGCAACGCAACTCACTCGGGTAGGTCATGTGGATCATGACAAAATAGCAGATCTGAGCTCCATTCATACTGCTCGTATGCCCATTCATACTAGAACATACTTTTCTAATGGCCGAGTAGTATGTTTAAACTCAAATGCAGTACCTACTGAGTAGTAGGCGGTTTGTTTTAGACGCAGCCGTTGCCTCTCATCTAACATACTGTAGTACCTACTGATACATTTAATGGTACATAATCATAGCTATTTAATTTATCTGAGTATATCTCTATCGCCTCCTTGTTATGACATGTGTAAAAAGTAATTCAACTACAGTCTTATTCAGACTACACAATTTTTGCTGTCAATTATAATAGTCACTGCGTCAGATTATGATATTTTTTTAACAAAGCAGTATACAACCAGTTACCTTAAAAGATGTTCACATAAAATTTCCCACACCACATTATGAATGAGAACGTAACGAGTAATTTGTTAGTTAACATATATTTCAATGCTCACTCACTCACCAGGCTGCAAAGTCCAAGCGTGTCACTCCACAAAGCTTTCTTCCATTTCTTGGAAAGCAGTGTGACAGAACTCGTGGATGACAAGTGAAAAAATTAAACCTGCTTGAGTTTCTGTGATGATGCCTCGAAACGTTGCAGACATGGCATCGGTTGCCATAAACTACGAGAATGTACAAATGTCCACTAAACCCTACGTCAAGTAAATTGCCATCAAAAAAAGTAATGAGAATAATCTGAATGAAGCTTAAGTTTAAAGATCAGTGCTTTGAATTTGACATTTTTCATCATTGAAGATTTTATTTTTTAGTAAATAATGACTTATTGTGGACCATAGGAAGAACTGATACATGTAGGAATCAGAGTTTTGCTACAATTTCACCTTGCGGTCTACATCAGACCTCACTGCCCGAGTCAGAGTCACTGTAATCTGCAACCAGAGACTTTCCAGTAGCACACGAGTCAATGCTGTTTTCCTCCTCTGATGAAGAGCTTGCTTTACAAGCATCTGTAGTGCAGCTGTTAATGTCCGTGTTTATGCTCACATTGATGTTATTAACAATGGATGGTAAGTCCGTGGCGTCTGTGTCCTTAGCTGCTGGATGAGTGTCAACTGGCAAAATTGTGCTCATAGTGTTGTTGGTTTCCGACTTGCTGCTTTCAGATTTCCTACGCACCAGTATCGGTAAAGTGGATGTAGAAGAGCTCAGTGCTTTAGCAACTGCTGCGCCTCGACCCTGCTGGCCTAACTTTTGCAAAAGACTTCCAGCGGCTCCACCTGCTGCAGATGATGGACTATTGAACCAGGAACGAGATGATATTTCTTGCCTTTTCCACTGCTTTTTGTCTTCATATGCTTAAAGAAAGAAACAGTTTTCAAGAGCCTCAATTATAAAGCCACAAAAATGCAGAAAATAGTTGCAAAAATGTATTTTAAAAAATATTTAACAATAATAACAATGCCTAAATATTTTAGTAAAATTAAACGCATTCAAATATCATTCTTATGTAACATTATTAATGTTCAAACTCATTGATTTTTGACCTGAAAAGATTGCAGAATAATTCTTTAAAGGGTTAGCCCACCCAAATAAATGTTTATTAATTGCCTTCATGTCATTTCAATCTCCGATATTTTAGATGAAATCTGAGAGCTCTCTCATCCTCCTTTGACAGCAAGGGTCCGAGACATTCAAAGACCAGAAAAGGAACTAAAAACATTGGCAAACCATTTCACATGACAGCTGTTAGGCCTGTGCAATTAATCGAAAATCCGATTTCGATTACGGCTTCTAAAGATTATGAAAAACCATTAACCGAGATAAAGGATTATTCCATTATTTACCGCCCCCTTTCCAGTTATCCTCACTTGTTGTTCTTAAAAGCGTGAAAGACCGCATGCTTATGTGCGTGTGTGTGCGGCGCACAGACAGTCAGAGGCATGCGGTCAGCACTTGGTCTCATTCGCACATTGCGACGAGCAGAGAGCACACACATCTAAAGTCATTAACTTTAGCGCTTTAATGTTCAAATAGGTGTCAAAACGCAGTGTTTAGTGATTATTTATATAAACCCTCATTTGTGTAATAAACAAACGAGTTGAGAATCAAAAGACGCATGAAAGCGAAACCATTAAAGAGACAGAGCACAATAGCTGCCGCCTGTTTTATCATGATTAATACAACCCCTCTCCCTCTTGACTGAAGGACTTTTGTAGCTAAAGAGTTTTTCTTACAGTGAAGATGCTTAAAGCAGTTTGTTTCATATTTTTATTCTATTGTATTTATTTCTCTTTCCTTTGCAGGGTGGAAAATAACTGTATATATGCAGTTGAAGTCAGAATTATTAGCCCTCCTGAATATTAGCAATCCTTTTCCTCCCCAATTTCTGTTTAATGGAAAGAAGTTTTTTTTTTCAACATTTCTAAATATAATAGTTTTAATAACTCATTTCTAATAATTTTATCTTTGCTATGATGACAGTACATTATATTTTAGTAGATATTTTTAAAATACAAACATTTAAATTCAAAGTGTGATTCAAAGGCTTAATTAGGCTAGTCATTGTATAAAAGTAGTTTCTTCTGCAGACAATCAAAAATATAGGGGCTAATAATATTGACCTTAAAAGAGGTTTGAAAATATTTAAATCTGCTTTTACTCTAGCCAAAACAAAACAAATAACCCTTTCATTAGAGCAAATACTGCTAAAATTTGTTACTCTGTTAAACATAATTTGGGAAATATTTATTTTTTAAAAATTCTCAGGAGTGCTAATAATTTTGACTTCAACTAATAATCGTTTGGAACAATCGTGATTAAAATTATGACCAAAATAATCGTGATTATAATTTTTACCAAAATCGAGCAGCCCTAACAGCTGTTAAACTGTAATTATGAGAAGCTATAAGAACACTTTTGTGCACTAAAAAAAAAACAAGAAAGATTTCGACAATGTTACTGGTTTCTTTCCTGGACTTTGAACCTCTCAGAACCACTGCACTCTAAGGAGGGTCAAAAAGCTCTTAGATTTCATCTAAAATATCTTCTTTTATGTTTCGGAAATAAATAAGGCCTCATGTGATTGGAAGAACATGAGAATGAGTGATGCCACGGTCACATTGGAATTTGTGCATGCGAAATTCTGGCGTATGGTGCTGAGAAAAGGGGCGGGATTAAACACAATGATTAGACATTTTAAAAAGTGAGCGACTGGTCCATATTTTTAATTTCTGTGCAGAGAGGTCAGGTTTTGATATTCGATTGGTCTCATGCAGTCACGTGATGCGATTTCGCAGGTCAGAGTTCACCACGCTTGAACTTTCCAATGCAGCGAACTGCGAAATAGTCTACAGGGAAAAAAGTGCAGTCTGACTGCAGCTTAGGTAATAACTAGGGCTTGACATTAACTTTTTTGATCACCAGCTACTGTGGCTAGTAGTTTTTCAATATTGCAAGCCACTCACCATTTTCACTAGCCACAATTTTGTTTTTGGAAAAATATATTTTAAATGCATAAATTTGACTTGACATGCTAAAATTACTTGATTTAGATTTTGTGTTTTTATTCATTCATTACACTTTTTTGTGTGTCGTGTATGACCTTGCTCAATGAGTATGAGCAAATGGGAAACTATGGTTTCATAGAGTTTCACTACAATTAGATCTTATTTCACATGACTTTTCAGGGCTCAACATTAAGGATTTAACTATTTTGTCTCTGGCCACACCAAAAATAAATAAACAAATAACTAATTACTTCTCATCTACAAATTATAACTAATAAAAAATAATAAAAGGGAATATATAAGGGAGCTGTACACATGAGCTTTTTATCAATCAAAAACTTTTGTTAAAAAAAAAGACGTTTTAGAAAGAATTATTGTCATCTCTAAATCTATCTCTTCTTAAATCAATGTTATTGTAAAGGATGATAATTTAAAAAAAATAACTCCCAAGCAAAGGAAAGCAGGTAAAAAATACTATGTGCGATAATGAAAGGATGATCACGTGCAAACGTTAACATTAGGCCCATCAATAATTTGTTCAATGAATGGTTAAAGCAAAAGTGGCAACCGCTGCTGCTTTTTTAAAGAATCTGTCGCTCTTGAAAGCAGCAGGACTGTGGGTGCATGAGCATCACTTTTTGTTCAGTCTATTTTTAAGAAAAGCTTCGCGCAAAGAAACAGGAGCACGCTAGGTTTCACATCACATGAGCCGTGCATGCAATACTAAAGCCCTCGTCAGTTAGCGAAGAAAGCCTTCGTCCCACAGTGCGTGTGATCATACTCTCATTCGATATTCACCTGCTTTCTTTAGCTCGTGTGAACAATATTTTGTCAGTCATGCTGCTTCTTAATGAACTTAAGATTTATTTTCAACCAGCCAAAGTGGGGAGTGGGAGCGGCTCTCTATCTCACCACAGCTGAAATCTACCTGCTAATGTCAAGCCCTGGTAATAACTTAGATTTTATTTTTAATTCAACTAATTCTTTAATAAATAAAGTTAAAAAAGGCTTGTCTGGACTTACAGTCGGGACTCTGGAAGGTCAGTAGTGATGCTAACTTTTTATCTTCTTCTCTTTCAGGTACCAAAGGGATGGACAGACCAGTCCTCAATCGTACTGCGTTGTCTTTCTCCTCCTCCTCTGCGATCACTTTCTTCTCAGTCTGAATTTTCAAACCACAAATAGATTTAAAGGGTCACGAAACACCAAAACACATTTTTTGAGCTGTTGACAGTCGTATATGTGTCCCACACTGCTAAAAACACTATTAGGACACCTATATTTCACTAAAAAGTGTAAATTGGTTGTTTTTGCGTTATTTTAAGCAAATTCGTACTTCCTGTTTGAAACGAATTTTTGAAGCTGCGTCACGGTCATGACATAATAGCGTGTATTCCAGCGTGCAGACTGGGCGTCTGTGCCAGAGTGAGTCTTATTACGTCTTACAGTTTGTTGCATTAATGCATGAGTAAGGCTTGGGTCAAACCAATCAGCGCACTCTATTGTGCAACTTCATTAATATTTATTACTATCACCGTGTTTTCAGGACAGAGACGCCACGTTGTGTTGGCAAAACAAGCGTGAAGTGTTGCTTTTATAGTTTGCTGCAGTTAAGTTTCGTTTTCATTTTCTCTCTGTGAGAGCTCAGACTCACGTGTGGATTACAGTGTACGCGACGCGCGACAACAATAACTTGCATGTCTAAGGAGGATTATTGTTTACCTGAGAGCTGTTCTCATCTGCAAACGCTGGGATCTGGAATCGTTTGTAGTCTTCTCTTCATAAAGACGCGGCTCTAGTTGCTGGTGATTGTCCTGTCTCTACAGATTTGGTAAGTGAGCGACCAGTGCTCTTTGTTTATTCAGTTTGTTCGTATCTAACAAACTATTGCACAGAGTGTAAACACGTTAGCACCACAACCAAACTTTAACCTCGTGTAGGGTTTTTACCGCATTTTGTGACCGGAATAACACGCGCGGCTTTCTGACACTACCTGTCGTGTGCATCTAAGTTTCCGGGAAATGCAGAGGTTTTTTTTCTCTCATTCGCCGTGCGGTATCAAACATTGCATGAAAAATACACGCTTAGAGCAGCTCCTCGAATCAAATATCTCGTGTGTCGCGAGGGGCATGAATGAATTCCCTGAATGAAAGAGCCAAACTGCAGTTAAAGTCCACCATTTAATAATTTGGCTAATAATTCGACTACAGATGTCCATGTAGGTTAAACACCATCACATTCTCCTGTATGTATGTGTGTGTGTGTGTGTGTGTGTATTTTGACTCTGAAACTCGCGCGTGCCCAAATCGACACTCCCACACCCTCCCACTTTAGTTCCTCCGACACTCCCCCCTAAACAGAGCTGGACACGCCCACTTTTCTGACTTTTTCCAAAGAAGAGGTGTGAAAACACCCTGCTGAAACGAGGGGGTTTCATGGCCCTTTAAAAAAGCAACTCTTTCATGAGACATGCAAGTCTGAAGGTGTGGGCAACATGTCACTCACCCTGAACTTCCTGCGGAGGGCACTGTTGAGCTGAAAGTCATCTTTCCATCCAGACTGGTGCTCCTGAAGCTCATTGAGTGATGGGATGGCGGCTCGTAACTTTTCTTTATCCTTTCCTCCGTGGTCTAATTTATACATGGCGTCCGTCTCCAGCTTCTCTTTCTCATTGCGCTCTGTAAAAAGAAAACAACACACTGTACTGTAACCTCTACTTTTTGTCAAACCTAAATTAACAGTGCAAATAATGACTGCAATATCTTTTTTAGGTATATATAGACAGACAAACGGACAGACAGACAGACAGACAGAACTATACATATAAAAGCCAATTATACTTGTTTAAACTTTATATTTATGTGTTGTGCATTAAAATTTCTGACAGTAGAGCCATGATGAAAAAAGTTCCTATCCTTTTATAATAATATAATTAAACACGAGTGTTTGTCCCACCAGTAGTGAGTATCTGCTCATTCTCAGCCATGTCCCATCTTTCCTCTTTCCTCTGGGCTCCGCTCACAATGACATAATCACAGGTGGCTGGGTCTGTCTGCATCTCTATGTAGTTCACACACAGATGACACTTCATCCTGAACCTGAGTGAGAAGATAAGCAGCTTTGAGGCATATGAACTTCAACATGTAAGTGAAATACAACATAATATTCAAACATATTACCTGTATATTGGAGTTGTGTAATAATTTCCCACTTTCTTCTTTTCAGCATTGTATCGAACCCCTTTAAAGATTAAACAAATTAGACATACTTACATGCATAATGGATACGAATACTAAAAATAAACAACAAATGTACAGTTGTCAAACTATATACTATCCGATAGTTAATCAGTATGAATAGTACAGTAAATCCTACCCATGCCGATGTGATTCTTACAGCCATCACACCAAATATTATAGGGCATCTCAAATCTGAAAACACACAAACGTATATTAGTATACCATAGAAAATCAATATTTATAAAATTAATAATGGTGTAAATGTGCGTTACCGGATGATGAGGATGCCCTGAGAAAGTTTCCTGGCCCTCTCCCGCAGCGGGTGAGTTTTATAGTAGCCGTTAATAGAGCCATGCTGTTATAGGAGAATAAAATGGATATCTCAGCAAAGATATTTCAATATACACACTGGTTATACAAGAGAGAACCCAGAAACAAAATTATTTTAAGATTTTTTTATTCTCACCTTGGCTGGATCAAAATCTGGAGGATACCACTTGTTTACTCCTTTACGTTCACCCTAAATGGGAGAATTAGGAGACATAATTAAACATTTTTTACACAATTATTTCACAACAAATTCCAAACTATACGTGTAATTATTGGTAACTAAAAACAAAAATGTAGAATCAAAAACACTGTAATTTCTCTAAAAAATGTTGCTTCTTGCATGTTTTGTGCCATTTTTCAAAGTGAAATGTTCAGTGAGTGGAACTAAAAAGCAAATAACATTTTCTCACACAAATAAAACCATGACTATGCGTTTTGGGGCTTTAATTAACACAACAATGTTGTGTTTTGGGCCTGAAATCTTTTGAATGCATGTGTCAGCATGCAAGTTTTGAAAAAAATACTAATAATAATCTATAATTCTAGTTTGATTATTATAATAATTTTAGATAATAATAATCTATCTTGACAACAAAACAACAATTGTGTAAATGTGAATGACACAAAATGTTACAAAGTGATGATAAAAAGTTACAATACTGCACTTTTAGTTTTTTGCCATTTCCGTGAACAACAATCATTTTCAAACCACTGTCATCTGTAAACGTAACTTTCTGAATATGCAAAGGAAAATTTCAATTATAACTATAATTAGTTTTATTTTTGTCATGTAACAACAATAAAACTAGTAAGAATAGAAAAACTAAAGAAAACTTTCTCTAAAAAAAGTAAATGAAACTCATATATACAAAACTGCAATCTAACTCAACATATTAATATATATATATATATATATATATACAGTTTTTTAATAGTATGGCTCATACCATCTTTCTGGTTGAAGATCAGCTTCAGATGACTTCAATATCAATCAGAACACTACAGAAGAAAGGGGGATAATATGATTATTACCCATCATATCATATTACTATCTCTCATAATTATTATCGGATTATTACCTATACCATATGATGTATGAGATCAGATATATACACAACATATATATCAATAACAACAAATCTTAAGGTTTTATGAATATTGTACAGAGCCACTGTATTATTTATAACGTAACATTGGAATACCATCACTGTACCATAATACGACCACAGTAAGTTGACAGTAAACGTGTCAACATTACAACAGAACTTAAAGGCAAGTTAATTAGGTCATTAGGTTTATATAACTAATGTTTAGGGTCCGTGTACGTTTTGTTCATTTGTTTTCCATTTTCAAACGGAATAAAGGAAATGGAGAAAACGGCCGTTTTTCCGTTTTTCTTTTGCTCACGAGAAAACGAAAAAACGAGATTTTGGCTGGATTTTCGTTTTTTTTGGTTTAGGGTAGGAAAACGGATAAACGACTTTAAAATTCATTTTACACATGTAGGCGGTGCTGAAACGCCCACTTTCCTCTAATTGGTCAACCATATCTGCGCTCGTGACGTCACCCTCAAAATAAAAGCCTTACATGCAGGCTTTTAATTATTATTATTTAATTATATATTAACAAAGTTTACATATTCTATTATTTGAACCACACACAGTTAGCAGGCTTACATTATACGTATGTATAAATTAAATAAAAACGTAAATCAGCAGTATTCTTAGACATTTGTCATTAAAATAAGGTCATAGTTCACTGCCAAACTTCTTGCTGCTGTGCACCTGATGCTGAGCAAAGATAGCCATTTCCGAGCAGCACCTGGTTTACATGATTGTTTCAGAGCTATTGTAGGCCTAAATAATAGCCTACTCTGTATAAAATAATAATTTATTATTATTATTATTATTAATAATAATATTATTAGGCCTATTATTATTAGTATTGTTATTATTATTATTTACTTAGTTATTTAATGGTTGTAAGAACACAATGGACCCTGCATGGGGCTATAATAAATGGTACCATTTGTTTCTATTGGATTTTTTCCTATTTTAATTTAATATATGCCTTTAGCCTATTGTAAATATTTATTTGATAATTAATACTTTTTTATTGCAACGTCAAAGTAGGCATGTCTTATTATTATTATTTTTTGTTATTATTTTGTCGTTGTTGTTGTTATTATTATTGTAACAGGGACATAGCCACAGGTGTGGCAGAGTGTGCTGGTGCCACCCAAAGTGGCATCTTGCACCTGAAAATAGATGCCTTCGCGCTCAAGCGCGCGCAAAAAACTTGCACAGGCAAAAGTAATGATGAATGTGTTGAAGGAAAAAAAAACATTCTAATTATTTGTTAATAAAATAGTGCAACATTATTCTCAGTCAGTGTAGGCTGAAAAAATTAAGATCGCCAGCATTTCAAGGGTGGTTTTATTTTTAGTTCATTGCTGTGACGCGCTATATTTCACTAAGGCTGCATGAGACTGCGCATCTTGCTTATTTTCTCTATTTTACATACAGAACATATCATACAGTCCAGGTTCTACCGTTCTAGTGAGTGTGGGGCATTGCTTTACAGTGGTAAAGTGGATTATTTCTTGGCAAATTCATAATGATTCACTTTGTTTAGTAATAAATTTCATAGTTATAAAATAACTACATTTCAAGAATATGTTAACACTTTCAACTATTTAGGATTATTTATTGCATCAAAAGTAATTTCAAAGTAACATTAAATGTACGTATAAACTGCTTAATTTGTGTGTGTAAACACCTAAGATGCAAAAAGCTTATTTAGACCAGAATAGGCCTACTAAATGCAACGGTCAATGTATGTAAACTTATGACCTAAAATGTCTTAAATGACTAAATTTAAGTCTTTTTAAGTTTTTAAATAATTTAAGTTTAACATAAATGATTTAAACTTTAAACTTCAAATTAACAGAGGATGGCAAATAAATTGTTTTTTAAATGGAGGTCAGGTGTCTATCTTAATTATAATTATTAAAGATTATGACACTACAGTGGTGTATTGGAGAGTACGCATGCACCTTTTAATTAATTAATTTTAAATAAGTGGTTTATCCTAAATAAAATGCAATGGGATCGGTGTGCAATGAATAGTTTGAAAACCCCTGGTTCAGACTAGACGAGCTAGCTGTCTGTGCGCTGCGCTAATAACTTGGCATTTGCTCTTTTCGGTGCTGCCAGATGCATTTATAATGCATAAAAAATAAAAAAGGTAATTCGGTAAAGCGCGCGATGCGCGCAGAAATAAGCGCACTATATACATATGTCGAATTAAAGTTCTCTTTTTCTTTAATCAAGACTTGGCCATTCGAGGAATTACAGTTATTAATAGCTTAGTCCTTATAAACGATCAGTTTATAAAATACACAATTTACGGATCACGCCTAATGAAGAATAAGAAGAATATGCAACGCATATGATCCTTGAATGATCAGAGCGCATTTATATAAACTATATATTTTATATAATCCATAAATATTAAAAAACATTCTCGATTAAAGGTGAAACTGACCGGCGCAACGGATGATTTGTCATCTAGGGTGACTACAGTTATAATACAGGTTATGGAACTATTTCACTTTAATTTCATATTATTATTTTATTAAACAAACAAACCAGTTTTTGTTTTGGCTCTGCATGCAGCGTATTGGATCTTTGAAGCATTGCACTTCGAATGTTATTCCTTCTTTTTATTTTTATTGTATTTTTAATATTTTTAATTATACAACACAAAATTGGTTCTAAACAGATACATTTTCCTTTAGGCTATGATGAAGTGTATATTTTTGTTCACACAGGTCCTATACAAAACTGTGTGGATGGATGATTTGTTTCTCCGTGAAAATCACTCATTTAATAAGCAAAACAGGCCAAAATGTTGTTTAGCTTGCGTCAAACTGGATGGACAATTTACAAACATATTGAATACAAAGGCTGGTTATTTTATGCAATGAGGGACCTATTACAAATTAAAGAAAATTATTTGCATATTAAAACGAAAATATATAATACAACAACAGATCCTACCTCAGAAATGACTTTAGATAATGTAAATAAGCATCAAGTTTTTTTTTGAGATTGTGTGTCTAATTCAGTAGTGTAGTGCGTTCGCGTGGGTTTCCCCACAGTAAAAAGACATGCGGTACAGGTGAATTGGGTAGGCTAAATTGTCCATACTGTATAAGTGTGTGTGTATGTGTGGATGTTTCCCAGAGATGGGTTGTGGCTGGAAGGGCATCCGCTGCGGTTCATTCCGCTGTGGCGACCCCAGATTAATAAAGGGACCAAGCCGACAAGAAAATGAATGAATAATGTGCAATACTAATTTAAAATACGTATCACTAACCTTATTTGTGAAATAGCAGGGCCCGCTGTAGCACTTTCTCAAGAAGAGCAAATGTCAAATTATTAGCGCAACGCACATGTAGCCAGCTCATCTGTTTGTCGGAACTACTAGACACAATTTTTTTTATCAACTATAATGTGTTTAATTGGTTAATTTGAAATTTATTTCATTATTCCAGCAATAATTGTTGTGTGAAAGAATGCGCTAGCAATATGCATTGCGGCTCCCTTTATTGTACAGGCTTATTGCACTTAAACTTTTTTAGGTTCGGCTCTCGAATTAGTAAGGTTATGAGTAAATGTTATTTAAAATATTTAAAGCCTGCCATCTAGCCTACAATAACAGCAAATTTAATAATAAAAAATAATAATAAGACAGGCCTACTTTAGCGTTACAATAAAATAGTATTAATTATCAAATAAATAATTACAATATATAATTAAAATAGGAAGAAATAAATGAAAACAAATGGTACCCTTTGTTTTTATAGCAGGGCCCAAAGTGTTCTTATTCTGGTTCTGCTAAAAACTATTAAAAAGAAAAAAAAACACACCAAACAATAAAAACACTAGTAACTGATAATAATAATAATAATAATAATAATAATAATAATTATTATTATTATTATTATAAAGCCCTTGCTCTGAAACAATCATGCAAACCAGGTGCTCCTCGGAAATGGCTTTCTTTGCTCTGCATCAGGTGTATAGCAGCAAGAAGCTTGGCAGTGAACTATGACCTTATTTTAATGACAAATGTAAGAATACTGCTTTACGTTTTTATTTAATTTATACATACGCAATGAATGTAAGCCTGCTAACTGTGTGTGGTTCAAATGATAGAATATGTAAACTTAGTTAATATATAATTAAATAATAATAATTAAAAGCCTGCGTGTAAGGCTTTTATTTTGAGGGTGACGTCACGAGCGCAGATATGGTTGACCAATTAGAGGAAAGTGGGCGTTTCAGCACCGCCTACATGTGTAAAATGAATTTTAAAGTCGTTTATCCGTTTTCCTACCCTAAACCAAAAAAACGAAAATCCAGCCAAAATCTCGTTTTTTCGTTTTCTCGTGAGCAAAAGAAAAACGGAAAAACGGCCGTTTTCTCCATTTCCTTTATTCCGTTTGAAAATGGAAAACAAATGAACAAAACGTACACGGACCGTTTAGCTAACAAATGTTTATCAACTAATGTTGATATGATCAGCTGATATACGATACGTATCCTAAAATAACAACCCAGCCAAGTACCATTAAAGCGACAAGCCCTTTGGATAACATGTGGTGTTTACACTACTAATGAACACAGTAAACGTGAAAATGATAAAGTAAATCAAAAGAAATTGGTGAATTAAGATACCAACCAAACAACCATCTGCGAAACACAGCTTCTCAGTTTCCTCGACGTCTCGCGTCACGCTATTTGAGTGCGTCACAGCGCCATCTGCTGAGCGGAGGACAAACGGCGACGCTTCAGAAATACGCCTGACGGGAAACTTTGGGTGAGTTTATTCATCCTTAAGGAGTTCAGAAACGTAAAGAATGTTTTATAATGCAGTATTTGAAGGATGGGGAAACCCTCTGGTATGGAAAACTCCGTTGTGAGTCGGTCTTGAGGCGTAAATTTCGCCCTGTCATCTACTGGCTCACATTCAGTCGGAATAACCGTGCCATGTTTGCCAGTTGGGATTTCTCCTGCAGGTGGGCATTTTCCCGCTCTGGAGTTTGTCTTCAGTGTGGATGTGAATGCAGGTGGGTACAAAAACTTGGACAAGCGAGGGTTTTTCCAATCCAGGAAATGAAATATGCACAAAAAGATTATTAACTGCGATAATTGATTTGTGTTGAAGGATTTTGTATTTGGGGGCAAACAGGGGGCAGGGGAATTTGAGGCTTCCATGTAAAACTGGTCAAATAAAGAAGTTAACCATATTAATTGAGGTAAAGTTTTGTATTTACTCAAAAGGACTTTACCTTAATGATATAATTTCAGTAAAGTATTGTTTGAAAATTCTAAAAAAGGAAATCATATTTGCTGCCAATGACTGTACAACATTGTACAACATAGTTCACAGTCAAATGAATTATAAACATGTTGTTTTCAAGTCATACTTACATGTGATTACAGACCAAATATGCAAAGTTCTTTGGTAAACAATATAGAGAGCGTCACAAGTTGTCACTGAATGAATGTGCAAATATAAAACCAACTTTACTTCAATGTCATAGTATTGGTATAAAATGTAACTTATCCACTCACAAACATTGTTATTAAAAGGGTCAATTAAATGAAAATTTTATACAGAACAATATATAAGTCTGTTTTTTTCTTTAATTGTACTTTTAAAAAAACAAATAGGCCATACACAACAATAAATTACTGTTAATTTTAACATTTATAATTGATAACATTTAAATTTTTTTAAACAATTATGACAATGGGGTATTTGCACACAGACTTGTCATTTTCAGCCAGGCAGCTCAAGGGCTTCCCGTGAACTGTTTTTCCATTACAAAATTGTCACGTTTAAGATCTAATTTCTTTAAAAACCAGTGATCTTTACTGACTGTTAGAAATACGATTTGACGTTGGTCTCAGATCGGACAAGAAGTACCGCATTTAATTCAAATTTCCACCACCATGTCTTTAAAATATGACAGTTTATTTTACCCTAGTATTTTCAATAGATTTTCTGTGCTAGCCTGTTGGTACTGACGGCACTAGTGATGACAATGGTCTTTTATCATGCTTTATGCTTCAACAACTAAATGAATGCTTAAATCTATTTAACTGTATGTATTGTAATTACATTACAACCTCGATGCTGTAAAAACAACCTTGTGAAATTAAAAATCGTCACATTAGGCTTTCACCGGAAGTTTATCATTGGCTTTAAAACTCTAGCTGTGCATAGAGCCCATTAAAAAACATATAGAGCCATACATGACAATAGATTACTGTTTTTAATTTTAACAATTATAATTTATACATACGATACATCACACCTCTTCTGGAAGCTCTGGGAGTCTCCTGCATATTCATTGTGGCTCCCTTATGAAACAATTTGATAAAACATCCCAGAAATCATGTATTTATCTTTTTTATTATAGTGAAATATACAGTATTTGTACTGTACACTGTGCAATATTTTATTCAGAATTGTACATTTGAAAAACACAATCTCTTTACAGTGTGGCACGGTGGCTCAGTGGCTAGTACCGTTATCTCACAGCAAGAAGGTCACTGGTTCGAGTCCTGGCTGGGCCAGTTGGCATTTCTGTGTGGAGTTTGCATATTTTAAGTTTAAGCTGAAGGAAAATAAACGAATGAATAATTTCTTAACACTATATTAAACTCTGTTATAGCATATACAGTTTAAATACATTATTAGTAAATAAGTACACTTACTATCCTTTGGCTTAGTCCTTGGTTTATAAAGGGTCGCCACAGTGGAATGAATAGCCAATTAGGCATTTGTTTTATTAACCCACCACTGGGAAACACCCGTCCCATACACTCTCATTCACACACACGCACGCACATGTTTGTTTTTGTGAAAAGTGGGTCCATTACATAAGTTTATTTATTAATTTTATACTGTCCAAACTGTATATTGTATTACCCTAACCCCACCCTACCCCTAAACCCAACCATCACAGGAGACTGTGTACAGCTTTACTCTCTGAAATAAACTAATTCTCTGTGATTTATAAGCATTTTGAGAAACGAAAACGTCACCTTCTTTTTGTAATACCTGTGTCATACCCATGTCATTACACAGATTTGTGTCCTGACATGTCACAAAAATTAGTATACACACAAACAAACACACACACACACACACACACACACACACACACACACACACACACACATTCAGACTAGTTAATCTGGCAAAAATTCGCTCCTAGGGTGTCTCTAAAATGCAGCATTCAAACCTCATAAGTCATTGTTAAATACAAAATTAGGGTAGTAACTGCTAAAAGGGTCCACTTTTTGAGAAAAAGAAACACCTCTTTCTCAAGGCTGGCTACGAACATGTAATGGTTTTTATATTATTCAATTCATCTTTATTTCTATAGATTTTTTTACAGTGTAGATTCCATCAAAGTAGCTTAACATAGAAGTTCTAGTAAATTGAAACTGTCAGTCCAGTTTTCAGAGTTGAGGTTCAGTTTAGTTCAGTGTTGTTTACTTTTCAATGCTGAAAGTCCAAACACTGAAGTATTTATATGATTTTATGAATTCTTACTAAAATGCAATTATATGATTATATTAAGTTGGTATAATATCATTGTCACCCTTGTGGCCCATGAACGATAGTGAATGCAGTCATAAACAAAAACGTAAGTTCTGGTCCAGTGTGATGAAGACATGTGTGAGTGGATGAGAAGTGATGGAGCTTCAGTCAGATTTACAGCATAAACAGCCCTTGCCTGGCGAGTTTGAGATTCCCCACTAATTCCCACAAAATGCTTCCCAACACTGGAACGCTGCTCCTGCATTCCTGCCCGGAGCAGACGAGCCCTATATGGGCCGGACGGGAGACCGAATGCTACAAAATTGCAGTGTTAGGTCATCCATACCTTAAAACACCCCTGAGAAATGACCCCGATTTAACACAATTTTTACCTGGCCTGACTGTGCAAACAATACATTCATTCATTCATTTTCCTTCAGCTTAGTCCCTTTATTTATCAGAGGTTGCCGCAGCGAAATTAACCGCCAACTTATCCAGCACATGTTCTACACAGCAGATGCCCTTCCAGCCGCAACCCAGCACTGGGAAACACTCATACACTCTTGCTTTCTCACATACACTGCAGCCAATTTGGTTTATTCAATTCACTTACGGCGCATGTCTAAGGACTGTGGGGGAAACCGGAGCACCCAGAGGAAACCCACACAAACACAGGGAGAACATGCAAATTCCACACAGAAATGTCAACTGACCCAGCCGGGGCTCGAACCAGCAACCTTTTTGCTGTGAGGTGACTGTGCTGCTAACCATTGAGCCACCGCGCCACCCCACAAACAATACATGTACTTTATTTTGTTTGTTAAAATTGCTTTTAATACTACTTTAGAACAATGGAAACATTTTTGTTTGTTTGTTTGTTTTAATGTAAACTATAAAAATATTTCAGTCAACTATGAAATTTCCATCAAATTGAGTACATGTCATTTACATTCATTCATTTTCACTTAGTCCCTTATTTATCAGGGGTCACCACAGCAGAATGAACCGCCAACTATTCTGGCTAGGGCTGGGCAATAAAAATTGGTATCAATATTTATTGACCAAACATTATTGTCAATATCAATTATAATAGATTTGGTATGTAGTTTCGTTATGAAGCACTGTAGCTTAATTAAACACATGGCTGCTGAGTGTGTACATTAGAAGCAATGCCAATAAGCTTGGGGTGTAAGTTTGTCATTTACAATGGAGCCGCGCGACATGCACGACACTCATATTGGAGCGACGCGCATATGCTGTGCAAACGGCACGCATGTGAGTGCACATTTTCCAGCTGCACCTAGTTAAAAAACATCTCAACCTTTCCAAATGCCCCGAGCACACCGCGATTCATGGAGGTAGAACTAACCAATCTGCTTTACACTTTGTATGGAATATACACATTTCAGTAATAACGGTAGACTAATTACCTCAGACAAACACAGCACATCCAAACACTGCAATGGTTTTTACTTTTCTCCATAAACTTGTTTCGGAGCTGAAGCAATGATTTGTGCCTTTGTCATCCTCTGAGAAAATGGTTGATGGTCGCCCAGTTACAAGAGACGCCAGGGGAGCATGAGCACAAAGTCCATTGTAAATGGTCAAGGAATCCATGCATTCGCACTCGTCACTTCAGATCTGAATAACAACACATGCAAAAATGAGTGCCGTATAGCAGCAGTGAGGAGATTGTAAATAAAAAAGGATTTAAGGATGTCACCAGGGTGGCTTTTTGGTTTCTTTTCTTGAGCATCTCAGCCACTAGTTTCCTATCTGAAAGATTTTTTAGCATAGGGGGCAATATAGTAATCCATTTATTCATTTTCTTTTCAACGTAGTCTCTCTATTAATCAGGGGTCGCCACAGCGGAATGAACTGGCAACTTAACCAGCATATGTTTTACGCGGCGGATGCCCTTCCGCCACAACCCAAGACAGGGAAACACCCATACACTCTTGCATTGACACATACACAGCAAATTTAGTTTATTCAATTCACCTATAGTGCATGTCTTTGGACTGTGGGGGAAACCGGAGCACCCAGAGGAAACCCACAAAAACAAGGGGAGAACATGCAAACTTCACACAGAAATGCCAACTGGCTGGGGCTTGAACCAGTGACCTTCTTGCTGTGAGGCGATTGGGCTACTCACTGTGACGCCTATAGTCAACCAACTTCACAATTTGTAATGTTGCAGTATGTTTTTGAA